ATTGTATTGAGTCGTTCGAAAAATAGTTCTGGAGCTTCTTGAGTTATTTTAAAATTTTTATCGTTGATATTGCTTCTACCAAATGCGTTAGAGACACCTGAGATTTTAGCTTGAAATTATTCTGTAAGTTTAGTCATTTGCAAAGGTGACAATAGACACCTTTTGGCTTGAACAGCTCTATGCATATAACTGCTTTGGAAATAGTGTTAATAATTAACGTGAGATACGAATTATTATGTTTAGGGGTTGAGACAACCCTCTAGAAAGCTTCCATTTCCTTAATTCTATTAATAAAAATATGAATTTGCATAAGGATCCGCAGTCTACTTATCGATATCAATATTATACAGGGTGGTCGGCCAACCCTGGGAAAAATCTTAATGAGAGATTCCAGAGGCCAAAATAAGACGAAAATCAACAATATCAATTTCTTGGCTGAGGCTTCGTTAAAAAGTTATTAACAATTAAATTAAAAAGTTTCAAATCGTTCTGGAAAAATTATTCTCGGTTTCGAGGGTCGATTACAATCATTTTTGGTCATTACACATACCTCTGAAATCCTACCCACTTTCGAGAAAAATAATCGGGTAGATGCAGAAATTTTTCGATAAGAAAAAGTTTTTCATGTCGTTCTAAAAAAATTATTCTCGGTTTCGAGGGTCGATTCTAATCATTTTTGGTCATTACGCACATCCCCGGAATCCTATGCACTTTCGAGAAAAAAATTCTTTACTGAAAATCTAATTGTCTAAATTCGACGAAAAAAAAAAATTTCAAATGGTTCTGGAAAAATTATATTTATTTAGTGGAGTCAATTATAATTATTTTTGGTGAGTAGACACACCCCCGAAATCCTACCCGTTTACTTGAAAAAAAATCGAGAAGGTGTGAAATTTTTCGACGGAAAGAAAAAATTTCAAATCGTTCTGGAAAAATTATTTTCGGTTCCGGGGGTCAATTGCAATCATCTTTGATGAATAAACATACCCCCGAAATCCTCCGTGTTTTCGAGAAAAAAATTCAGTACGGTTGGAACTTTAAATGTTAATAACTTTTTAACGAAGCCTCCATCAAGACATTGTAATTCTTGATTTTCGTCGTATTTTGGCCTCAAGAGTACCCCATTAAATTTTTCCCAGGGGTGATCGAACATCCTGTATACTCTGGAAAACTGTTGTTTAATGATAAATCGGTAATTTTCAGATACTCTTGAAAATCGTTTTCCCCCGGTGAAATAGGAATGGAAATTGCTAGAATCGCTGATCGAAACTGTCTGTTTGGCGCGTTTGATGAATATCTGATATTGGAAACGCGGTCCTTCGATCGGTCGCTGACGAACGTTCGAAAGAGCTATTTCGGCTGAGATTCGGGGTGCGTGTCTAACACGTCGGTGCCTGGTAGACAATGACAGGCGAGGGTCCTACCAACATTGAGACGTTCCTACTGTAATTTACGAGCCCCTGTTTGCCGACAAAGATTGCGGGTGGCTCTTGCGAAGCCGAAGAGGCTGCCGGAAAATGGCACCGTGCTGGGAAATTGGCTTTCGTCACGGTCACCGTTTGAACGCGATCGTACTGTGCATTATTGCCGATCATACTTCCATGAGGAGTAGAAAGTTGGATGCGCGGGGATGCCCGATTCGCAGCTGCGAGCTTTCTGCTCGGACCGTCTTTTATTCCACTTTCCAAATAAGAAATAGTAACGAAAAAACTATCAACTCGGTGGAACAATAACGAGTCTCGTCCAAGCCAACGATAGAAAAAATTTCGATGGGCCAATATAATTTATTTATAAAAAACAATAAATTCTTCTTCGAGTAAATGTGAAACTTTTGGGCGAAATTAAAAATTCTCAAATCGTTATAAAAAAATTATTTCTAGTTGCAGGGGTCAATTATAATTATTTTTGGTGAATAGACATACCCCTGAAATCTTGCGCATTTTCGAGATAAAAATTCGAGGAGATGTGAAATTTTTGGGCAAAATTAAAAATTTTCAGATCACTATAAAAAAATTATTTTTAGTTACACGGGTCAATTATAATTATTTTTGGTGAATAGACATACCCCTGAAATCTTGCGCATTTTCGAGAAAAAAATTCGAGTAGATGTGAAATTTTGGGGCAAAATTAAAAATTTTCAGATCGCTATAAAAAAATTATTTTTAGTTGCAGAGGTCAATTACAATCATTTTTTATCAATAGACATACCCTCGAAATCCTACCCACTTTCGAGAAAAAAATTCGAAATGTGCTGAAATTTGTCTGTGAAAAAAAAAATTCAAATCGATCTGGAAAAATTATTTTCGTTCGCGGGGATCAATTGCAATCATTTTTGGTGAATAGACATATCCCCGAAATCCTACCCATTTTCGAGATAAAAATTCGAGTAGATGTGAAATTTTGGGGCAAAATTAAAAATTTTCAGATCGTTATAAAAAAATTATTTTTAGTTGCAGGGGTCAATTACAATCATTTTTTATCAATAGACATACCCTCGAAATCCTACCCACTTTCGAGAAAAAAATTCGAAATGTGCTGAAATTTGTCTGTGAAAAAAAAAATTCAAATCGATCTGGAAAAATTATTTTCGTTCGCGGGGATCAATTGCAATCATTTTAGGTGAATAGACATACCCCGGAAATCCTGCGCATTTTCGAGAAAAAAAATTCAGTACTGGCGAATCTCTAAACGTTAGTAACTTTTTAACGAAGCCCCCATCAACAAATTAATATTCTTGATTTTCGTTCTATTTCAACCTCTAGAATCTCCCATTACAATTTTTCCCCAGTGCTGACCGAACACCCTGTATAATTTTTTTGTATTTTGTTTATTAATGTAACTAATTAGACGCTCAATGGGCTCTCGAAAGTATTAAAACCGAATTTGAAGAATCAATGAACGCGAGAATCCGAAATTCTATATCGAATGGAGTCGTTCCGAAGGTTATGCGGTTCCGGGTAGTCCAGGTGGCTTGAAAGGGCAATTAAACGTATAAACGGTGGAAATTAGCCGCAAGAATTGGTTCGAAGTCTACGGTAAAGGCATGCCCTGAATAGATCCGCAGGCATCAGGGCCATTTAACACGATGACACCCCATTTACCACCCCCGCAAAGAGACCGCTGGATACCGAGGAAAGCCCTAAAGCCCATATGTCAGCACGTGCCGCTGCCCATAGGTGCTCTGTATCGTTGAATGCTCGTAGCGTTAGGTCGGTGGACGGTCAGATTTCCGTTTATTAGTCGCAAACGTCATGCTGTCGCGTATCGCGATACGACCAACCACTGGAATTAACACTTTCCAACACTTGGAAATGAAACATCCAAAAGTCACCATCGACGACTGGGATATTTTTTTTCTAAGAGTTGCACATCGTTTAGGAATACTGTAGCAGAAGCATTCTGTTCCCAAATACTGATACGAATACGACCATAATACTTTCCTTCACAGATTACTTCAATTCCATTTTAAACGAAATAATAATTAGTCAAATGAAATGATAGTTCCATAAATATAAATGAATTGAAACATTCATAGTAGAGGTTATCCACGGTGCCTCGACTAAAGACCGAATAAAACATTTAATTTTTTTTTTTTTAATTCAATTCCAGCTGAGACTTGCTTAAAACGTTTTAATAACAAATTTTAAAAACTAATGATATAACCAGAATGGAGGTCACGTTATTCTAGGTGAAGAAATAAGTCGTATAACCTAAAATTCATGCTCGAGCCTACGTCTTTGGTACGACCTGTACGCGACTGACACGGTAGTTGAATTTTTCCGTGTTCGTATCATATGTATCTACATTCAATACTGACCCTCCTTCTGCGAGCAGAATAAAGGAGGATTGGCTGAAATCAGCGGATTCACGAATTCTTTCTTATCCCGCCCTAATTCGAGGAAACGACCGTCGTAAAACGAATCAGAGGGGTATCATACCTCGGAATTCTTCCTCCCGATTACCCTCCGGACGCTCGTTTTTGCTCCACCCTTCTGGATCCGGGGATGAAAGGAGGTGGATGTTGGAAAACCAAGCAGGAAATCGCATCGCACGGAGAATGGCCCTCCTCCTATACACACAACTACGTTTCAGTCTTCCGCCTCTTATTGAGTTATCGAAACTATACCCGCGAGACAGATTCCACGCTGGGCACGAAAATTCTTCTAAAACCAGATCCCTCGGAGCTCTTTTATTTTAGATAGAAATGCTTACGAAATAAACATAGTCTTTTTCTTTTAATTGATTTACTTACATCCACGTCACTTTGCGAGTCATTAGCAAACACCACGAGTTGCATTTGTGTATTTGCCGTCAACGGCAAAATGTCGAAGTTTGTCAAGGAAACGTTTCTATTCCTGTCATTGTAAAACACCGCCAATTTTTACTTTCCGACACTACACTTGTAATTTCTACTTTCTTTATTCGTAAACATAGTATCACATCGTGTTAAGCGTAATATATGTATATTATTTAATACATTTAATATATTTAATCCAAAGCTTATTCGTTTAATAAAAAACATGCTCTATTTTACGAACGACTCTACCGCCATCTACGGCAGAACGTCCAAGTTTATCGAGGAATAGTTCCAGAAGAATCCGCCATTCAGTAGTGTCGCCACAGGCGAGATGTGACTAGTTATCGACTGTTTCGATTAAAACTTACTTATTATCTGTAGATAACTGTGTCTGTATATATAGACTTTATGTAACAATATCAAATATTATACAATATTCTAAACATCGTACTATTATTATATATAATATAAGCAATTAAAATATGTGTTTAATATAAATTTTGTGTAAAGTAAAGGGAATGAATAAGAATATTCTGGAACAACCGTAAAGCCATGTGTTATATTCTTCCGCCAATGCGAAGAAGACATTTGGACCGAATTATAACCGGCTTGTCCTTCATTGGTCGATGTGCATTGCGTGGATTCGTGTGATTGGTCGACGTACTTGATTCCCTCTCGCTATAACATAGCGTCGCAGGTTAGATTGTATGACAGTCGGTGTAAAACAACTGAGTGAGGCGTGTGGTGTTAATTTCAGTGTTTTCGCTTTTTTTTGTGATATTGTGAACTATTGAGGACAACGATGAAAAAAGCGTTAATATTAGTATCGTTATTGATCCTTCTAACGGGTAAGTTAAATTAAAAAATGCTAATTACGAAGAGAATAGTGTTCGCATATACACGTTAATCGAGGTACAGCTACGTCGATTTTTTTATTGTTCAGGATACGTTAGGGCAGAAGATCATATCGAGGAGGATGCTGCAACCGTTGAAAATGATTTGGGTGCCAGCCGAGAAGGATCTCGAACAGGTTACACGTTTTCTTATGTATTTCTATGTTATTTAAAACGGATGCACATATGGTGGAACCTTCATCTGACAACAGTAGTTGTAATAGATATACACCCCCTTGTTGATAAGACAAAAAACTAAAAATAATTTTATATTTACGTTTACGAAGCTTACAATGAAATTTATCTTCTTTATTTAAGATTTTTGAACAAACGAATGAATTACTTCAGAAATACTTTAAAATAATTTAACTTGTTAGAAGCAGCGCTAGATCACCTGTATATTTGTATTATATTCGGTTACTAAATGTGCAAGTAAATGTTTTTGCAGATGACCAGGTGGTTCAGAGGGAAGAAGAGGCTATAAAGCTAGACGGATTGAATGTAGCTCAAATAAAGGAACTCAGAGAGAAGGCTGAGAAGTTTGTGTTCCAAACTGAAGTCAATCGTATAATGAAACTTATTATAAATTCATTGTATCGCAATAAAGATATCTTCCTGAGAGAATTGATATCCAACGCGTCAGATGCTTTGGATAAGATTAGATTGCTATCCCTTACAGATAGAAATGTTCTAGATAGTAACCCTGAGTTAGCAATTCGGATAAAGTCAGACAAGGAAAATAAAATATTGAGTATAACTGATTCTGGTATTGGTATGACCAAGAACGAATTAATCAATAATCTTGGAACCATTGCTAAGTCCGGTACGGCTGAATTTTTGGGCAAGATGCAAGATACTTCGAACACTCAGGATCTAAATGATATGATTGGTCAGTTTGGAGTAGGCTTCTACTCTGCCTTTTTGGTCTCCGATATGGTAATTGTCACATCTAAACACAACGATGACAAACAATATATCTGGCAGTCCGATAGCAGCAGTTATAGTATCGTTGAAGATCCAAGGGGAGACACCTTGAAAAGAGGAACAACTGTCAGGTAAACAAAATAATATTTGTTACATATTAATTTCAGGGACATCGGTTTGACAGAACTGGAGTAGTAACTGACCTATTCGTCATTGCAGCCTTCATTTGAAAGACGAGGCGCTGGACTTCTTGGAGGAAGACACGATCAGGAACTTAGTAAAGAAGTATTCGCAATTTATTAATTTCCCTATATACCTCTGGGGTAGTAAAGTCATTCAGGTCGAGGAAGTGGAAGAGGAGAGACCAGTAAATGAAGATGCAAGCGATAAGGATGAATCTACCGAAGATACATTAACGGAAGAAGAGGACACGGAGGAGGAGAAGAAAAGCAAGAAAGTCGACAAGACTGTCTGGGACTGGGAGCTGCTGAATGATTCCAAACCGATATGGACCCAGAAACCTTCCGAAGTCGAGGAGAAAGATTACAACGACTTTTACAAGGCATTGACGAAAGATACTCAAGAACCATTGGCGAAGATTCATTTCATCGCGGAAGGTGAAGTCACCTTCAAATCGCTTCTATTCATTCCTAAAGTACAACCTGGCGATAGCTTCAACCGCTACGGCACCAAAGCAGATAACATTAAATTATACGTTAGGAGAGTCTTTATCACCGACAAATTCACCGATATGATGCCTAATTACTTGTCCTTCATCCGCGGTATCGTCGACAGCGACGACTTGCCGCTCAATGTTTCGCGCGAAAATTTGCAACAACATAAGCTCATTAAAGTGATCAAGAAGAAGCTGATCAGGAAGGTCTTGGACATGATAAAGAAGATTTCCAGAGAAGATTATGAGAAGTTCTGGAAGGAGTACAGCACAAACATTAAATTGGGCGTGATGGAGGATGCCCAGAACCGCGCTAGATTGTCCAAGCTCTTGATGTTCCATTCCTCCATGCAAAAGGGGATGACATCGTTGGTCGATTACGTTTCTCGCATGAAGTCCAAGCAACAATACATTTACTACATCGCTGGCGCTTCCAAGGAAGAGGTGAAGAAATCTCCGTTCGTCGAGAGATTGGACAAGAAGGGCTACGAAGTTCTATACTTAACCGAAGCCGTCGACGAGTATGCTATTTCCGCTCTGCCCGAATTTGATGGCAAGAAATTCCAGAATGTCGCCAAAGAAGGATTCACGCTAGACGAGGGTGAGAAAGCCAAAGAAAGGATGGAACAAATGAAAACCATGTACGAGCCTTTGGTCAAGTGGCTAAGCGACATCCTGAAGGATCATATCAGCAAAGCTCAGGTGTCGGAACGTCTCACGGAATCCCCGTGCGCGTTGGTCGCCAGCATGTTTGGATGGACCGGTAATATGGAAAGGCTGGCGGTTTCGAACGCTCATCAGAAGAGCGACGATCCACAAAAGACTTACTACTTGAATCAGAAGAAGATGTTGGAGATCAATCCAAAGCATCCTCTTATCAAAGAACTACTGCATCGAGTAGAATTGGACACCAACGATCAGACAGCAAAGGATATGGCTCTGATGATGTTCAGAACAGCTACCCTTCGGTCCGGATACATGCTTAGGGAAACCGCCGACTTTACAGACAGCGTGGAACGCTTGATGAGAAAAACTTTAGGCATTCCCCTGGATGAGATGCCAGAAGAAGAGGAACTACAAGACGAGGAATCGGGTTCGATGGACGCTGAAACAGAAACCGAGAAGATCATAGACATGGACATGAGCGACGAGGATAAAGACGACGATAAACACGATGAATTGTAAACAAGAATTACGTCGCGCAAGACTAACTTTCATACCTATATGATTATACAATGTATAGTGATGTGGTAATTTTATTCAGTCGTGCAACTATTATCGATTGCAAACGAAAACGAACTGTTGTAATTGTACAGAGAGAACAAGGAAGTATCTTCCGATGGTTCTTTGCAGAATTGAACGCGTTTTGTAATAATATTGTCGCAATGGTACATCCGAAGGATGTAACAAAGTACGCAAAGGTGGCATATATTTCACTGATTAAGTTCGTCATCGTAATCCGTAAGCTCTCATATGTTCCACGTTCGGTAACGAATTATTGTTATAATTTATTTGATTTGATCTTCCACATTTTTATAGTAACGCAAAGTGATCACTGACTGAACGTAATAAATATAGTATGTTTGTGATGCGAATGACTGTATTTGTATAAAAGGATATTAAAAAAGTTATCGAAGTAACATTATCATCGTGGTTTTACTGCCGATTGTCTTTTGTATTCTCTGTGTTTTTTTGTTACGAAAAAAATGTGCGATAACGTTGTTGACGATAAAGTATGTACATGTACATTCCTTTTTCATTTTCGAGAAATATAGAACAATGATAACGCGTAACGTGTTTGTTTTTAGCGTAAAATTACAAACGAAGAACATTAATAATAGTTTCCCTGATTTGTTCAGAAAAGAATATTTAAAATAACAAGGGACGGGCTTAAGACTATATAAATAAAATTGTAAGATAATTCAATAACATATACCGTTTTTGCAATAAATTTATTGAAACGTACCGGAAGTAGCTGACAAAAGTATTTATACTTCGACGACTATGGATTCCCGAAGAGTTTATTGATAGTCTAAGAGAGAGGTCACAATTTTCAATATTACTAATATAACAAAATGAATTGCAAGAAACCGGAAACAATAGTGAAGTAGTGTCAGAAAGGAAAATCATAGAGTGAAATTGCACAACTTGTAGACAGAAGTAAATTTACTGTTCATTATATTACGAAGAAATTTAATACTCAAGGTAATGTTATTAACAAGCCTTATTCTTCAGTTCAACATGCACAAAAGTTTGAAGTTGTTCGAATTATTTCTACGGTTTGTATTTTCAAAACAATGCCAAGTTATTCGTTTCCGGCAAACGCATTTTATTCCGGTCGATCGACCAATGAGGTGGCTCTGTTCTTATAGAACCGGGGCAAACAGCGTAGGTATCCGAGTACGGCCGAGCGCTCATTTCCGTTTTCGAATCCGACGTCACCTACTCTGAAAGCCCGTGTGTTTTGTGTTTCTTTGGGGCCACAATGATTATCGCTAATTTAACGTAAGTATTGTCATGCTCTCGGATCGAAATTACGTAGGCTAAGCCCGCTGGGATTCTCGCGGTGTCGTTCGTAAATGAGAACTGGTCACGAAACCGCGCGAATTCTTTTGCGTAAGTTTCATGCCAAAGGAGCGAAGACCTCTCTCGCCATGCCGGGCTATAAAACAGCCCCTCTTTCTTGGACACGTTTTATTAACCGAGAAACGACGGAAAAAAAATCCCCGACCGGTTGTCTCGTTCTTGTTTGCATCGTAACGATCGTCGAAACGGGACGGAACGTTTCGTTGAAAGGGAAAAGAACTGTTCAATGATAATCGGGAGGCCACATATAAACAAAATAAATGGCGTCGGCATACTTCTGTTCCGAGTATGACAAATTTTGTTGTCTCGCGTGTTCGTCAATCTTTTCGAGAGTTAACGAATCAACGATACATGGTAAGGAGAGTGTCTGCCCTTTCGTGGGATCTAAATCACCGTTGTTGTACAAATTTACGGATAAACATATTTTATATCTGTTTTTTTTGTGTCGTTTTTCTTCTCAAATAATTGTCAATAAGTAGATCTGGTACATGTTCGATGTTTCCAAATAGTTTGATATATTCTGCCTAGTTTATAAGCTAAAGTGTAAAAGAGCTTGTTATCGGGCACTGTGATGATAAATTCAATGATTTTCTTGACTGACTGACAATGTTTGTTGCAGGTTGAAATTATTGAAATTGAAACTAGATTTCTTCATGTCGTAAAAAAAATATCTAAAGCAAAACACTAAGTAAACATTCTCACCTACAACTTATAAACAAACAAGAAAAGCGTGACATTATACAAAAACATAAAAAAAAAAAAAAAAGCAAACAAGTTTAACTCGTAACTGTATAACGCAAACGGAATCTTGGGCAAAATGGGCATTCAAGATTTACAAATCTTTCTGGATAACAACTACATACAAGGAGGATCTGTACCCGTGGATCTGTTGAAAATAGCTCGTTCGATTACACAGAGACAACATAATCGTGTTGGTAAAGCACAATTGTATTCTGGAAAGTTAAGACTAGTCCTTGATGGAGAGTGCTGTTTAGATAGATTATACGGAGGTTACTTCTCAGGTATATACACTTTTGCTCCGTTTGGTACATATTTAATTACAAAATTAAAGTAAGCGATCTATACCTCAGACTGGGCTTGTGGAGGACAATGGAATCGAATGTTACAATTCTTAGCAGTCCTCATACAAGCGACAGAAATGTCAGGCTTGGAACTGGCCGTATTCTTCAATGGATGTTTTGAATCTCCTAGACGCGCAGATTGGATTCAAAATCAGCTACAAGTGCGAATTAAAGTGAACAATGTAAGTTAAGATCCATTCGGATGTTTAGGAATACCAAAAACCTGCCCGCTCTTATATGATGCTTTTTCTAGGTATTAAAACATATTTCAACAAAAGGTACCCCACCGCCAAAAATATGGTGGACTCCGCCGGTATGTCTGAGAACCAGTTTACGTATGGCTCTGCGACATTTGAATGTTACAGTTGTAAGTTGAATCATATTCTTTTAATATTCAATCCCAGTATTATATCGCTTAAGTTCCGTTTCGACAGTTATGTAGCATGGACGATCATCATCAAGAAGTAATTGCTTATTGTCGAGAGAATAACTTCAATGGTTTGATTGCTGACGATGCAGAGTATGCTGCATTCGATCCTCCGCGATATTTCTCGTCCGAACAATTAAAGCTTACATACAAGGTACGTGCTTGCATGTAGGAAATACAGTCAGATCTCTATAAGTAAAATGTATATCTATCATTAGAATTAACAAAACGAAATCTGTATGTGTGGTATGTATCGGATAAGAAATTAATGACAATTAAATACTCGTAGGGTTCTCTTGATACAAAGGAATATGTTCTCCCAGAACTTTTAAAAGCGTTAAACATCCCATCGGATAGGCTATGCTTGCTAGCTGCGTTACTTGGAAATTATATCTTAACCGAACAGGATCTGGCTGATTTTTATAAGAAGCTGAACGTTAACACTATTTTAAATAAGATTAACGTGGAGAACACGATAAAAACGATCGCCAGTTTCGTTAAAGACCTCCCATCCGTCGAATTAGATGTAGCGTCGCAAAAGGTTTTTGGATCTTTGTCGGATCCGAGGTGTTCGAAACTGAGGCAATCGGTTCAGTACTACATAAACGGAACTAAAGAAGGATTCTTGCATTACAAACCGGTGAAACCAACCAGAGGTAAGGCTCTACTTTAATCCAGCACCTGCATCCTCGATAGCGACGCTCGAATAAAAATATATCATTATTTAGTACACAAATTGGACTCGAAACAAAACTCAGTACAACCACAGTCAAATCTATCCGAAACGCCTTCAACGTCGGAAGGTGATTCGAACTTAGAGACATCTAGATTCGCGTCCGAAACGGTAGAGAGTGAACACGAGAGCTTGAACGCTTATAAGCAAGCAACTGCAAACGCAACGTCTGCGCCTCAAATTGTGATAGATCCACCGGGTATTCAGGGTCACGGAGACGCCGATAACGTTAGGACGGAAGAAGAACAAAGTAAGACGGTATCAAACAATTAAAGATGATCGTTAATTGTTAATTCTCTCGGTATAAAGCAAATATTGTTTTACTTAGGTAATGGACACGCTGTCAACGGTACACACAATCTTTTAATTAGTTCGTCGAGTTCGAGCAGCAGTTCTTCCGCTACATCACCGTCTCATGCGACGGCCGATTCTGCTAGACAAGCAGAGAAGACTACTAATATTCCTACCACTGTACCGGAAGTGATGCGTACCGCGTCTGAGAGACATCAGAAAGGATTGATGTCGCCTCACATTTATCAGATTCTCATCGCCGGCGAGATTAAGTTACCGGTCCTCTTGGAAGACGAAAATCACCGCGAATTTCCATCCATTCATCTCATTTACAGACCCATTAGACAGATGGTGTACGCGATATTATTCAATCTACATCACCGAATGTATTTAGCTGCTAAGAGTAAAGAAAAAGGTGGTAAGTAAGAACAGTCCTGAAATCGTGCATAGAAAATTATTTTTGTTACAATTCTCTCATATTTGTTCGATAGATAGCGAAAAAATCGAAGTCCCAGATGTTGTGATAAAGGAGTGGGTATGGTCCAAATCGAATCCATATCAAACTCCGGAATTGGTGAAGGCAGAACAAATCGGTTGGGGCGTTCCTACGATTCAACGTTTATGGTTTGGGTACGTTAGTTCCGCTTACCCAGACGCCGATGTTTAAATTCTCGTCGAGGAGAGTGTTAAGAAATTCATACGTAATGTCTTTCAGCACAGGCATAGACGACAAACGTCGTCGATTGCGAGGATTCTTGACCTGTATGAGGTCAGACACGCCTCTCATGTTGAATACCTCCTACGTACCACAACACCTCTTAGTCATGGCTTGCGTTTTAAGGTGATTGGTTTTTATAATGTACATTATAGACGATCTTATTGTGTTGTTTATTTCACATTGATTAGATTTCTTTTTTTTAATTATAAGACATAACTTTCGCTTCGGGTAACGTGTCTGTCCTTTTTTTTCCAGATACATCATGTCGTTTTCGAACAAAATAAAGATTCTCCGCCGTCAGGAACTAGATGCTTTTATTGCACAAGCATTTTCGCCCGAACTTATGAATGCTCAGTATTTGCAAGATCTTCAGGTACTGTAAATACATTTTAATTAAAATTTCCTTTGCCGGATTACTCATTAAATTCGTTACACAGCTTCCCTTAGTGACATCTCGTGGAGTACAATTAGCTACATTATTTATGGCTGGTGTTGAGACTGCTCTCTTGGCAAACGATGCATGCGGTGCACCGATTCCGTGGTTAATGTGCTGCCCGTGGTTATATTTTGATGGGAAATTATTCCACCACAAATTAGCCCGTACCACGATCGCGAAAAACTTACTGGAACTCTGCAGCGGCCCCATAGATCGTGTTGTGAAAGCTGAACGAATGAGAAAAGCCATATTGGAGGGTATCAACGTTGTCTTTGCGCGTCCACCGATGCCTGTTGCACCAAGTATGTTTTTTCAAAAACATTATTAAAGGTTTTAAGAAATAGTAGTCGTAGAATACGTTTCTAGTAGAGATCCCCGTTTCTCGTGTACACAACAGGATCTCTAATTTCTAGTTTTAGATTAGATTTTCGCTTCCAAACACCTTAGCATACCATTCACACTCTAAGTGGTATGCTTTCGGAGTGGAAGGAGAGTAATTCAGCTATGTTGCTTCGTGGACTTTATGTGTTCATCCTAGTTCACGAATCTCGAAGCTGATACATGTGAACTTTTTAAATTAATCCCATTAGTATTTGGTATACCGAACTTGGGGTATTATTTTCTGCAATAGGTATCCGTGTATCGGTGCCACAAAACATTTTGGCTGCCGGATGCGCGATAAACGACGGTTTAATACGCAGCCGTGGCAATGGAACGATACCACAGCGTGGATTGATGCGTCGCCCAATACCATCACGTGGTGGCCAACTCGAAATAGCTGGAGTCGTCGTAGGTCAGTGGGGTCCCAATTACGGGCAACCTGGTCGTTTGCCTCAGCCCCTTCAAGGACATCTCCGCGGACGACTTCCTCCACAAGTAGGATCACATCTCATCAATTGACAATTACGTTTCACAACTGTTAAAAGTACTTGACGTAATCGCTCGAGGGATCTGTTACAGGTGACGTCGATAGGCGGTCTCAAGTATGGTCTTCCACGTGGCTTCACCCCCATGGGTCGGCCTACATTTCAAACGCGAGGAAACAATCGTACGCAATTAGCAGGTCGTGGAAAGAAAATGCAAATGAAGGTGAAAGGATAAATTTCCTCTTACAAGGAAGCATTCAACTCTCGCTTTTAGATGTGAATTGACTTTTGTAAGATGGTAGATTATACATCTGTTGCTGTGTAAAATACAAGGTGTTCCAAAACGTAAATCAACATCCAGTTTAATGCTTCCTTTTGTTAGTAGCCCCAAACTTATGCGTTCCATGAATTGTTACTAATGCTACCAGTTTTCGTAGGTAACTGGCAAAAAGAAAACTACCGTTAAGAAGAGCAAGGAGTGCGAGAAGAAGGACAGCAGAGGACGAGGTAACGGTGTCGATGGAATACCGGATTACAAGTAAGCGGTTCTGGTCTAATTTTAGCAAATTTTAAAATGTTATTGGAGTGTTCGATTTTCCGTATAATTGTCCGTTTGTCTCAGCGTTTGGCCATTCTTACGACCATTGACCATTGACATTTTTGCCAGCAGTGAATCGATTCCAAACATGAACGCGCTGAAAGACGCATTGCCGGTGCCAGGTCAATTCGAGGACGCCGTGGAGAACGGCAAAGGGATAGAAAAAGGGCAGGGTGACGCGGCGCTCGTTGCCCCGGTCGCCGCTGAGAATTAGGTATTTATACATCACTTTTTATCGACTTTTAGACACTCCCGGATGTGACACAAGACTGCAATCAAAATCTTATTATACGTGTAACGGGTGATTGTGCGTCACGCGACATCTGAAAGCTCCGATACGTATCGACGATTGGATCGGTTTTACGACCGAGGGGGAAAAAAAAAGATAAAAAGGAAGAGTTCTTTTCGGCCTTTTTTTTTTCTTGGATGCATCGAAGATCTAAATGTTCGTTTGTTGGATCGTGTTGGAACGTTTCGCACAAGGGAAAGACCGTTCAAATGTCGCGCGCAAGATCACTTAATAATGTCTAAAGCTCTGATGGGGCCAAACTAATTAAACTAATGTAGGAGATATCGGCATTAACGATGCCAAGATACGTAACACATTACACCGGATAAACCCGTTTCCGACGTACACAATACGATGTCCTCACTGCCAAACGTACCATTCAGTGTGTAAGATAAAAAAAAAAAAAAAATGAAACAAACAAACGGAAAGAAAAGGAGAGAATTTAAAAAGAAAAAAAACAGCAAAAGTAAAAAAAATAATAGGAGTAAAAACAGAATCGTGCTTGTGCTAAACGAGCGTGTCACACCAGCTCCGCTCGGAATCACCAATGGGATGGAACTCGACTGATTAGTGTATGCGTGCGCTAATTTTACTAAACGAGAACAAGTTGTCGTCAGCTGCTAATAAGTATTTAATTCTTAAGAAGTGTGATTATTTTTTTTACAATGAAAATATATATTTTCCGGTATTATATGAAATGCTCGCATTGACGGTCTCAGTGCTCTGATCTCCTGCTAGAATTGTAGAAAGATTAACGGAACGAATGTTACGGACGGACCGACGACGCGACCGATCACTGTATTACGCATAGTTTAATGGTTTTTTTTTTGTAGATAAGAACACGCGAGACAGGATACTGAGATATTCATTAGCAAATGGAGACTGATGCTTTTCATATAGGTAAAATATATATTTATATATGATTTAGATTAGAGATTCCCGATATATAGCATATTATATATGTGTAAACTGTAAGCGTGCGAGTGTGTATGAACGTGTGCGTGTGTGTAAGCGTGTAAGCGTGTGTGATTTGGATTCATATGTGGGAGAACGTCGTAAACGAGTAAGTGAGAATCGATTGTTTGTCTGTGGATCGCTGTACGGTGAGAAAGAAAATGGCGGACGTATGAACGATAGAGAGAAACTTAAGGAAACATACAAATGTATATATATAAATGTGGAATGTTAAATACGATGTCGGTGCCGCGTGCACATCTAAAGAGATGAAAGGGAATGTTTTGCGCGGCCGTGCACGCAGCTCCAACCTCCGAATATATTTATTTGCTGTTGCGTCGAAAAGAAGAATGTGTGCATGCGACTTCGGGACGAATTATAAATTTACGTACGATAATTGTAACCGTGGATCGTCGGGGCTTGTGAGAGTGATCCGACCATTGAAAAAGGGGCAAGGTTCTCTGAAAGAGTGGCCCTCGCGATATGCTCACTATCGCTTTAAAAATATGCTACATTTTCGTCGCAAAGTTTTCGTTATATCATGAAAGGAAACGGCGATATAAGTTGTATATTGTTTGAAAGTTGCGATTCTCTGTACAAATATTGCAGAAATATAGTTCCCGTTTTCGTTGTGGTTTTTGGACAAAAATGATAGGAAATGACAGCGTGGAAATTGTTGCAATAAAGTGTTTGCGCCTTCTGTAGCATATTTTAAGGGATACGTATGCCTCGTTTAATTGTACATATGAATAGTTACTTTAGAAGCGACAGTGTGATTGGTGTACATAAAGGGATATCCGATTGCCGCGTTACTCGCCGCGTGAGTCGGATTAGGAATGATAATGTTAAACGAAAAAAAAAAAAAAAAAATACTATTTATGGAGTAGAATAGTCGGAGAGACTTTCTACCAAAGATCATTGGAGTTCGAAGGGCGGGGAGTTTCTTTTATCCGTGAAGTATGATATACATAAAATGTGTAAAAAAAAAAAAAGTGAAAAAAACAGAGAAGCAAGACAGCACGACAGAACACGATTATTAAAGTAAGAACAAAAAAAAAAAGAAAAAAAAATATGTGAAAGATAAATAAGAGCAAAGATGAGGCAAAGAAGATGTGTCTTGAATGCAGAAGTAATTAAAAAACGAGTAAGAGAGAACGAGCGAACGAGAGAAAAACCATTTATTGAGATAATATAATGAGAGATAAGAATAAAAAAATGTTATATTTTTGTAGATTTGTTATTGCGTAAAATGCATTAAGACAATGAGAAACTATATAATTTGAGTGATGGTTAACCAAGGGGGAGAGAGAGAGAGAGAGAGAGAGAAACGTTAAGCCAGTAATTAAAATCGCGAAGGGATAAAGTGAGGGAGAAAAGGTGAAAAGTGCATTGGATGATGATGATGGTATGTTGAATATGTTTGACATCCGTGATTAATGTGTAAAAAAAGTGGTCTCATTAATTCTTCTGTCTCTGAAGCTCTTGAAGAGTTCTCTGAGTTGCTTGCAAATAAATAATGGAATGAAAAACAGAAAACGATAAGAGAAATGAATTTGTGCTAAAAAAGAAGATAAAAAACGTAACTCAATGTCAGCTTCGATTGCAAGCTATAAAAAGCGTATGCATATAATATACAGTTTTCCCAAAGTGTAATTCGAAGAATGGAAAATTGCTTTGAAAAGATTTTCGCAACGAATGGAGAAAAGAAATCCCGTGAACGGAAGAGTTATTGTTTGTAGATAAACGATTCGCTATCATTCGATGATTTTCAATTTAAACATCCACACATTGTTTTTTCGAGTACAGTAATATACGAAGCGCACCGATGTATGTAAAAATGAAAAAAAATGAGTCACCGTGTACCTCCTTTGAACATTCGAAATTAACGACGTCAATCGTACACGAATGATAGAAACGTATAATGTTAATGTTAAAACTAGAAACAGACTTTTTCAAATCTGCCGGATGAATATAAAGAAAAAAAAAAGAATATTCCAGAATAAAAAGAAAACGCCCACTCTACGCTTTCGTGCAAGGGTAGAAGATTTTTTTGTGAGAAATCGATCGATCATCCTGAACAAAATACCAGAAAACGCAAATATAAATAAACAAAAAAATAATGAAAGAAAACTAAGACATAAACACACGATGTACACAACATGATCAGTTGCTGCTGCACTGATATGAGTAATGCAATAAATAAACAAACAAGGAATAATTTAATAATGATAATATTGATAAATAAACGACGCGAATAAGCAAATCATGGAAAGAATGTGAAACAAAAGAGGAAATGTAAAGGAAGATGATAAAAAAAGAAAAAGAAAAAAAAATGAAAACAATACTGAAATCCATATTGAATGAAAACAGAGCAGAAGTATCGCAAAAAGCAAACGTATAATATATACAAAAGGCAAAAAAATGAATGAAAACTTGCATGTAAACATGATCGATGATAAAGAACAGGTGCGTGCCTGACTCGTGCCTGCTTTTTCGTTGTAATAAGTAGACGAGTAAAAAATAAACAAAAAAAGAATAAAATTAAAAATAAATAACGCAAAAATAGGGGCCCACGAAAAAAACCTTGTCAATGCTAGGACGTTATCCGTCAGAAAAAAGGGGTAAAAGCCAAGAATAATCTCTCTTGTGTAATTTTAGAAAGTAAAAAAAACCCATTTTATAAACGATTTTCTCGAACAATTGTGTGTTATTGTGGTAACAAAAGAAATTAATCATTGTACTTTGAAGTAAGACATCGCTAAACTCCTCGTTGTGTATCGATGCCGATGGGATCGACGATAAAAAAAATACTTCTTATAGGTGAGAAACGGTCGGACGAGAGAAAAAAATGTAAATTTAAGCGATTAATTTTTATTTTCTCCCTTTAATCGTAACATACATCCAATACGCAAACTATTATTTTGTAAACCGAGGCATCAGCTCCCCGATTCTTTTGTTCTTTTGCTTTTTATTTTCTCAACGCTATCTAACGCTATACTTATATTACCTTTTGTTAGGGCAGACTCTAATGCCGATGCAGCGTCTATAATTGAAACGTAATAATAATAATAATAATAATAATATAATAATAATAATAATAATAATAATCGTTTCTCACCGCGTGGACAGAGGAAAACCTTCGCTGCTTCGTTATTCGTTTTACATTTTATTATTTACTATTCACTTTTATTATAATTATTTTGTTCTTCGTTTGATTTTGTAATCACATTTGTAGTAGAGCCTTAGGTATTTTCGCGAACATCACAACTATATATGTAAATATACATAGAGAAAAATATATATAAAAAAGAAAATGGAGCGGATCATTTAATTTCAACGATTTGTTTTAAATGATTGCCACAAAAAAATAACGACGACGACGACGATGAGTTATAATTATTGTTTCACTTGTATTCTCCGTAGAAGCACGCAACCGATGGGCATTAAAACCGTTTAATGTTTCTTCTCGTTTCTCTTTGAGATGTGCCGTGTTAGCTTCGTGTAGATTTCTCGATAGCAAACCCGACAAAGAACGAACAACGCTCTTTGAAGCGAAAGAGAGATAGTAAGTTGCTATTGTAATGCTCGATATTTAAATTTTAAGTTTCTTTTACCATACTTTCTTCACTTGCATACCTATTAAGAAGATATATTAAAAGTACGGTAGCAAAGACAGTAAAAATAAAAACTATCTAATAAACTAAAAAACCAAAAAAAGACGTAATGAATTAAAAAAAAAAAAAACACTTATCAATGTAGCTGCAAACTTATGTGGGCCCCGTCCTTATATATTCTTATTAAATATTACATAACAAGTATATTCTGCTATTATTTTTCATAGCTAATGGAAGCGACAAGGAAGAAAAAAGTAAATGATTAAAATACAAGAGCGTACAAAGAATAACCATTGTATGTTACAATTTATAATCATTATATGTTTATTTTTCGTTTCAATATCTTTTTTTTTCTTGTTTTGTTGTAATGTAACGATACAAAGTAATCGATGATCACGTGTGTAGCGCATGAAATGCAAATGGGTTCTTAGCAGGGGGATATCTTTCAGCGAACACTTTAATGATTTGTGTGACAGTGGTACAGAGAGATGCTGCATCTATACAGCGAAGGTAAACAAGAGAAAATTGTACATGCGCTATAATGGTATCAACGATCATATTAATTTTTATCTATACGGATCAGTGGGGGTAGGTTGTTGCCTGAACCGATAAGAGAAACATCTGTAAAACGCAACAAGCATGAAATTACTAACATGTTCCTTGGTACGACAATGTTGAAATTGTTGCTGCGTAATGATTTAACAATGTATTCATCGATCATTGGATATTATTCATGCACGATTACAATAGAACTTGAAAGAGAATAAGACGTAAGGTTTTCTATGCAAAAAACAGTATGCTGTATTAGTTGACTAATCGCTGATGGAGAAAACAGAACAACCTGACCCATTTGGTCCTTGCATTTTTCTATAACACAAAGTCACATTGATGTATTCATGTTGGATTATTCTACATTGTAACTTACTGTTGTAACATATATCCCATTCATGTCTAGTGTCAAGCAGAGCTGATTCTATGCTTTTGCTAGTTGGAAAATTCGGGAAAAAAAAAAAATAATACATTTTTTAAAACGATATCGATGAAGAAGAGGACGATAGAAGAATAACGGAACGCGGAAATCTACTAATTGTATTCGTATGTTTAAAAAACGTGAGGGAAAATTAAAAACAAATATTCCAGATGTTATCGAATAATTTAGGGGGCAGGCGGTATGAAAAGATAGAATGAAAATGGAAACGGAAGAGAATCAGTGCTGGCGAAAACACGAGGCAACCAAAAAATTATTATAAAGCTAAAAAAAAGTCACATTTAAAGTACTTCTAAAGCGGATACATATTTGGAAAAAATGTAGGAGGTAATCATTATATAAATGTAGTGGCAACTCTATAATACTACGAAAGAAACGAAACCAATATATTCAATAATTATTCGAAATATTAAATGCAAAATGCACTTTAATGGATGTTGTAACAATTTAGAGTATTCAAATTGCATCGACATTTTCCTGTAAATCTGTTCTTTGGAATACAACTGCTCTGCCGATTGAAAGGTACTTTTCTTTCGAACAAAAAGGAAGAGAAAACTAAACGGTTGCATATTGGGGGAGGGGAGGGGAAAGGAACAATTATTTTCTTTTCGTTATCCCAACGTGCAGAGAAGTTTCTCCAATGACAGATGCTTTAAGTTTGTTTCTTTTAAATATATATTTACTTTCGTTTATCTTGTATAAAAAAAATATGCAATTATACAACACACACGCAAAGTAGATCGGTTAAGGATCCGACAGACTCTCTGTCGAGTCGAAGAAGAAAAAGCTTTGCAGGGCACACGGCTGCACGGTTCGAAATAAAGGAAACAAACTTTCAGTGAAGTTCTGTAAGAAAGCTGTTCGTGTGAGAGGTTCTCGGAGATGGTTGGCTGACATTTTCGAAAGTTAATAATGATTTATTGAAACGTGTTGTCATGTCTTGAATACAATTAAAAGAACTATAAAACCCACCCGATCTTACGTCATTAAATTCATTTTCCATCTCACACGCCCACGCGTTTATCGCTGTGCTACTTATCGTTAGTTTTGTTTAAGTTTTTACGTTACTCCCTTTGCTCGATCAATCGATTTTGTAAAAGAATTTAACACCGCGATGTAACATTACTTGTAAAATACAAAATTTTATACTCGAAATTAATCCTTTTGCAGATCGTATTAAGCTTTGAAACGGTTAATGTAAATATTTCCGATCGTTGTGTCGATACAGTTCATTTTATTGATACAAAGAATGTTCATGAATGGTTTGACTATATCATATACTTGAACGTTATAAAAAATTAGTTTGCTCGCAGTCCATATATAGGTTACGTATATTTTCTTTGAAAACTGAAAATGTTAATTGGTTAGGAACATTTATAAACAATTTATTGGTAAATTGTAAACTCTGTTGGTAGGAATAGTATTTTTACAATATGTTGAATTAAATAAAGTTTTATTAAGATCAATTTTAGACTCATTTTCGTTTACTTGTGTATCATTGTGCTTTAATAAAAAAATGTTAAGAAACTACACAATAATTCGCTCCGTACTCGTGTTTTATTATAAAACAAATCGTTAATGACCTTAACGATACAATCGATATAAAATAAATGTAATTTGAAGAAGTATTTTCATCTTTATTCACTCCATCGACTCTGGTGATAAAATTGAACGTAATTCTTAAAATCCCCTTGAGAAAAATATTAATGGAAGATTCTAGAGACCAAAATAAGACGAAAATCAAGAATACCAATTTGTTGATCGAGGCTTCATTAAAAAGTTATTAACATTCTACAGACGGAACTTGAAACGTTAATAACTTTTTAACAAAGCCTCGATCAACAAATTGGTATTCTTAATTTTCGTCTTATTTTGGCCTCTAGAATCTTCCATTAAAATTTTTTCCAGAGGTGACTGAACACCCTATATATGACTTAATTTGTTGTAAACAAACTTCTGAGAAGATAGTCCTTTCAGTAAATACAGGACCCATAATTACTTTGTTACAATTCTTTTATAAAGTATGAGTGTTTGATTATTCATTAACCACTTTTCTACCAATTTTTCATGCAATTAATTAGTTGTAAATGGTTATTGGAAGCTGTAGTTGTTTAAATCGTTGCGCTAAAAATGATAAAACACCTAGTGCAATCTGTAAAAGGGGACTGTAACTACTAAAAAGTTATCCGGATCGCAGAATGCTAAAAGAGGTATACATATTACCAATGTCGCCATCGATGAACTCGTTTCCCGCCATTTTCATTACTCGATGCACATATCTCGATCATTCACTAATTGCTCTTTTCCTGGGCTTAAATTATGAACTTTTAGAATTTAATAATATATTATAGACCCCTGATAATATTATATCAGATTATATAAGATCTGGCATACAATGTACACGTTTCCCGCCATTTCCATTACTCGATGTACATATCTCGATTATTCACCAATTGCTCTTTTCCTGGGCTTAAATTATGAACTTTTAGAATTTAATAATATATTATAGACCCCTGATAATATTATATCAGATTATATAAGATCTGGCATACAATGTACACGTTTCCCGCCATTTTCATTACTCGATGCACATATCTCGATCATTCACTAATTGCTCTTTTCCTGGGCTTAAATTATGAACTTTTAGAATTTAATAATATATTATAGACCCCTGATAATATTATATCAGATTATATAAGATCTGGCATACAATGTACACGTTTCCCGCCATTTTCATTACTCGATGCACATATCTCGATCATTCACTAATTGCTCTTTTCCTGGGCTTAAATTATGAACTTTTAGAATTTAATAATATTTTATAGACTCCTGATAATATTCACGCGACATATTTTCGGATTTAAAGAAAGAACCATAAACATAACCAAGTTTTAGCACGACCATCAAAATAACTATTAATTTCAATATTTGTTTATAGCTAATTAATTTCGTGAAAAATAGGTCAGTGGTGTTTGAGATTCACTAAAAGATTAATTTGATTTATAAGCAATTTTATTAATTAAAAAGTTAATTGAATGTTATAGGGGGGTCGAAATAAAACGTACTTTAAGTACTATGATTCTGATTTCTTATTAATATGAAAAATGTAAAAACGTAAAAACATAATTAACTTTTAGAATGGTTAAAAAGTACAAGTTGAAGAATAAAAATGTATTTAGATTGAAAAATAAAAATTGTGATTGCAAGTTAATGGTACAAATGGTGGACAGAAAAATGCATCGAGTGTTCGATCTATTCTGTACCTAGTCCGTGGCGTTGCAATATAATTCTTTACGACTCCACAGCTCTCTTGTTAAAGTTTATGGTTTCACGCAGTACGCGAATATTTCGATTTAAGAAGAGTTTGTTGTTTACGTTGTATAAACGAAATGATTCTTACTAATATATTTAATATTCGTTGCACGAGAAAATGAAGCCACGAGTGACACGTTCGTACAGTATTCGACGCAGTGGAACAAATATCACACTTTGTACGATTGTTGACTGTAAACAAACTTTGTTATTTTCGTTTGCAAACGTCTCTCTATTTTTTATTTTAGGAAATGTCGTTAGTCGACGTTTGATCTAAACGCGATTATCTAGGTTCGATACTCACAAAATTTTAATTCTTCGAATAGAACCATAAAAATGGACGAGGTTGCTAAACTCGAACACTTGTCATTAGTGTCAAAAATATGCACAGAATTGGAGAATCATTTAGGATTAAACGATAAAGATTTAGGTAAGAAATAAATTTTTAAAATTTTTTTTAAATCTTTATTAAATCATTCATCGCTTGATTATTTTCGTTACAGCCGAATTTATAATTCATTTAGCGGAAAAGAATAGTACCTTGGACAAGTTCAAGAAAGTTCTGGTTGAAAATGGTGCAGAGTTTTCCGTGAGTAATTTCTGAAACTTCGTCTGCTTTCTGTCGTATTCACAAACACCGTAACGTTCAATTATTTCTTTAGGAATCGTTCATGGCCAATCTATTAAGAATAATACAACACATGAAACCATCCAAAGCAATGGAAGAGCCGTTAAAGCCTGCGACTAAGCGGGACGAGTTAGCACAAAAATTCCCTGCATTGGCATTACCGAACGAAGAGCCAAAAGTGGAAAATGAATGTCTCAAAGATGACGATATAGTCAGTAGCGCTATGGCAAGTTTAGAAGAATTAGCACCGTCGAATAAAAAGTCTGGTGGCGAGAGCAAAAAGGAAAGCCAAGTGCCTGAGAGTAATGAGAAAAAAAGCAAGCATTCTAGAAGGAGCAGATCCAGAGAGAAGAGAAGGCACAGATCACGGTCGTCTAATCGTAAAGATAGAAGACATAGATCCAGGTCTCATTCAAGATCGCGCGATCGTTCGAGATCTAGAGACAGACGGCGTCACAGATCGAGAGATCATAAGCGATCGAGGTCGCGGGACAGAACGACAAAATCTCGCGATCGTAGAGATAAATATTCTAACAGACACGCGTCAGATCGGTCTAGATCACGATCCGTGGAAGAGCTTTCTATGGATCCAGAAGTGGGTAAAATTTATTCGGGCAAAGTCGCTAATATCGTGCCCTTTGGTTGTTTCATACAATTGGAAGGCTTGAAACGTAGGTGGGAGGGACTCGTTCATATATCGCAATTAAGAAGAGAGGGACGAGTTGCTAGCGCGAGTGACGTGGTATCTCGAGGTCAGAAAGTACTCGTGAAAGTTCTTAATATCGGCGGACAAAAGGTACGAAGAAATACATTACTCTAAACTTATCTACATCTGTTATTCAAAATCAAATTCAAATGAAATAATTTCAGGTTTCGTTGAGCATGAAAGACGTTGATCAGGAGACTGGTAGAGATTTAAATCCAGTCGTGACCGTCACTAAAACCGAAGAAGACGAAAAACATTTGCGCAATCCAGACAGACCTACTTCGCTTCTGGAACTTCAAGGCAACTGGGATGAGGATGAAACGTGTTCCAGGAAACGTGTACAAAGATTATCATCCCCCGAGAAGTGGGAAATAAAGCAGATGCTCGCTGCGTCGTGTATCGATAGGTATTGTTCGAAGAAAAAATTTAATTGTGCTTTTATAACGAGATCTTCGTTATTTTATTTTGTTTTCCCCCACTGTAGAAGCGAATTGCCAGAATTCGATATGGAAACCGGGATTCTTCCTCGCGAAGACGACGAGGAAGAGGACGTTGAAATCGAATTAGTGGAGGAAGAGCCACCGTTTCTGCACGGGCACGGAAGAGCTCTTGGAGATTTAAGTCCTGTTCGTATAGTAAAAAATCCCGATGGTTCTCTAGCGCAGGCTGCTATGATGCAAAGCGCGCTCGCGAAAGAAAGAAGGGAACAGAAAATGTTACAAAGGGAACAAGAAATGGATTCTGTTCCTACGGGTCTTAATAAAAATTGGATCGATCCGTTGCCGGAAGGTAAGTAATTTTTAAAAATATTCTTGCAAAGTTTGTTGAGTCTAAAACAATGGAATAATATCTGTGGATATTTACAGCCGAAAGTAGGACTCTGGCGGCAAATATGCGTGGAATAGGCCTCCAAACTCAAGACTTGCCCGAATGGAAGAAGCACGTGATAGGTGGAAAGAAGTCATCCTTCGGGAAGAAAACGAATTTAACTTTGCTCGAGCAGCGTCAGAGCTTACCGATATACAAACTCAGAGACGATTTAGTGAAAGCTGTGACCGACAATCAAATTTTGATTGTAATTGGCGAGACAGGATCGGGAAAGACCACGCAAATTACACAGTATTTGGCTGAGGCAGGATTCACTGCACGCGGGAAGATCGGTTGCACTCAGCCCAGGAGAGTCGCCGCCATGTCTGTTGCCAAAAGGGTGGCAGAAGAGTTTGGTTGTCGTTTGGGGCAAGAAGTGGGTTACACCATTCGTTTCGAGGATTGTACTGGTCCAGAGACTAATATAAAGTAATTTGTTTATTAACGTTTGCATTTACTTCGAACAAATTTTAAATATTAATACGCTTTAACATTATAGGTACATGACTGACGGTATGTTACTTCGAGAATGTCTCATGGATCTCGATTTGAAAACGTATTCTGTGATAATGTTGGACGAGGCCCACGAACGTACGATTCATACCGACGTTCTGTTTGGATTATTGAAACAGGCAGTAGGAAGACGACCAGATCTGAAACTAATCGTAACAAGTGCGACCCTCGATGCCGTGAAATTCTCGCAATACTTCTTCGAGGCGCCCATTTTTACTATTCCTGGCAGAACGTTCGAAGTGGAAGTGATGTACACGAAAGAGCCGGAAACAGATTATCTGGACGCAGCGCTCATAACAGTGATGCAAATACACCTGCGCGAACCGCCAGGCGACATACTTCTTTTCTTAACTGGTCAGGAGGAGATCGACACAGCCTGTGAAATTTTATACGAACGTATGAAGTCTCTGGGCCCCGATGTACCGGAACTTATAATTTTGCCAGTTTATTCGGCGCTGCCTTCAGAGATGCAAACCAGAATATTCGAACCAGCCCCGCCAGGCTCGAGAAAAGTGGTGATAGCCACGAACATAGCAGAAACGAGCCTGACCATCGACGGCATTTATTATGTTGTTGATCCAGGCTTTGTGAAACAAAAGGTATACAATTCTAAGACAGGAATGGACAGTCTTATCGTAACGCCAATCAGTCAAGCAGCTGCCAAACAAAGAGCTGGAAGAGCTGGTAGAACTGGCCCGGGGAAATGTTACAGACTTTACACCGAAAGAGCTTACAGGTAACTCTCATGGACGATAAATATGTATGCTCGTAACATAATCTAAGTTTAAGAATCGTTTAATTCGTACGATATGTTTCATGCTTTTTTTAGAGATGAAATGTTGCCCACACCAGTCCCGGAAATTCAACGTACCAACTTGGCAACTACGGTGTTGCAACTTAAAACAATGGGCATCAATGACTTGTTACATTTCGATTTTATGGACGCCCCGCCCGTGGAATCGTTAATTATGGCTTTGGAATCCCTGCACAGCTTAAGTGCATTGGACAATGAAGGTCTTTTAACAAGGTTAGGTAGAAGAATGGCAGAGTTCCCCTTAGAACCAAATTTGTCGAAGATGCTCATTATGAGCGTGCATCTTCAATGCTCCGACGAAATATTGACGATCGTCAGTATGTTGTCTGTTCAGAACGTTTTTTATAGGTAAGAGATTCATCGACAAACATGAGTATTCCGATATTACAAATTAAATTAAAATGGTATTACTTATTTCAATGGTATTACTTTCTTCTAGACCAAAGGATAAACAGGCATTGGCTGATCAAAAGAAAGCAAAATTCAATCAGCCCGAAGGCGATCATTTAACTTTATTAGCAGTTTACAATTCGTGGAGGAACAATAAGTTTAGCAACGCGTGGTGTTACGAGAATTTTGTACAAATTAGAACCTTAAAACGCGCCCAAGACGTTCGCAAGCAGCTATTAGGTATCATGGATAGGTAACTATTCTTTTATTAAACTTGCCTCTATTCAAATTTAATGTAATCTCATGAGATTTTATTTATCAGGCATAAATTGGACGTAGTATCTGCTGGTAAAAATACGGTAAGGATTCAGAAAGCTGTGTGCTCAGGTTTTTTTAGAAACGCTGCAAAGAAGGATCCGCAAGAAGGATACAGAACTTTGGTAGATAGCCAGGTTGTTTATATTCATCCAAGCAGCGCCCTATTTAACAGGCAACCTGAATGGGTAAGTTTAAAACTACAATTGTTTAATTATATGACTATTAATATAAATAAAAATAAACATGTCTTCTTTATTTTTCTACCACAGGTTATTTATCACGAATTAGTGCAAACTACGAAAGAATATATGAGAGAGGTAACGACTATTGATCCGAAATGGTTAGTAGAGTTTGCACCGGCGTTCTTTAAATTCAGTGATCCGACTAAACTCAGTAAATTCAAAAAGAACCAACGACTTGAGCCATTGTATAATAAATACGAGGAACCGAATGCTTGGCGAATATCTAGAGTTCGCAGAAGACGTAATTAAGACATTTATTATATAATCTGTAAATAGTTTTGTACAGAGTTTCGTATTCTTTAAAAATACGAATAAATGTAATTAACTGCAAATCCATTAAAGAAACCTAGAATCACAAATATGATAATAGTATCTTCACTTATACTAATGCTTTGTGCGTGATACAAAATTGAATTGCACCGTTCTTATTTTAGTGTAATAAATGCTTTTATAGAACCGCGAAACACACTGAACGTAATGAATAATAGTACTTTATACTAACACTAAATTTTTTAGTAACATCTACGATCCTTTAACATAAATAAGACACAATATCGGAATTTTATATTATTTGTATAATTTATAGCCTTTGAAATGTTTACATTTGATAATACATGAACAAAAATCACTGCCTTATGGTAAATGTATTATTCTAAATTAGAGAATTCATAAAACTTGTAAAAATATGTAAGACAGAATTTTTCTGTGCCACGAGATGTGTACTTATTTTAACAAGTGGAATAGAGACAATGTGGTTTGAGAGTTAAACGTCGATCGTTTTGATACAATTAGTCGTATAAACGTTTATGATATTCATATGTTAACATTAGTATTATAGCGAAATGTTACGTACGTTGGCATGATATTATTCGTGTATTATATTTCATAATTTTTAAAAAGTAAAGTACATAGTTCGTTGAACAGATTGCAAAGAACAGGAGAGTGTTCAATCATTATACTTTGTCAGTCTTTTTCTCTTAATTAATTATTAAATTTATTAAATAAATACATTCTCTAGAAACATTTAATAATAATATTATGTAAGAGCAATATTCTTTTTTCCGTGTATAAACGTTTTATCACTCGTAATGCAATTATATTTAATCTCCGTTTCTGTGTAAGAAACTCTTTAAGAGATTTGTAATTCATCCGTCTGAAATGTTGTACAACAGCCATGAAATATTTTTCTGTTTTTTTTTCATGAGATATAAACTGAATACTATTTTTGGACTTGATTGTACGGACTACACTTTTTTGCCGAAGGAACATATCTTGTACATGGCAGGGCTACTGAGTTTGTTGCTTCTTCTTTACAAATTCCACCAATTGTCTATATCTCGTTTGGCATTCATCCTACAAAAACCATAGTCAATATTTCATAAAAAAAAAAAATTATTAAATATATAAATGTTATACCTTCGTTTTCCCTTCGACGCAGTTTGCAATTTTTTCCCATCTGTCTATAGACATGCCCTTTGGATATTTTATAAGCGCGGCTTCGAACGCTTTTTGTTGCTCCTGACTCCATTCGGTAACATTGTCAACATTTTCAACCCGTGTTTTTATTTTTTTCGGACGTTCCTCTACCACGGTTTCTTCCGTAGCAACGCTCGGTTTTAACCTTTCATCTTTTACCTGAATGAAGCACATTTAGAATAAAAACTATCCATTAAAATGCTCGATCATTATTCGATTGAAATAGAAACCTTCTTCGCCATGTATGTAACGTCCGTGACTGTACGATTCATAGCATCCGCAATTTTATCCCATCTCTCCGACGTACCGCTCGGGTATTTTTTTACAAGCTTTATTAACTCTAATATATCATCGTCAGTCCACAAACCGCCGCCGGACGTAGCGGGCTTCTGATAGACATGATTCGTTTGATCACAGTCCCTCTTTAAAACATCTTTGACGTTATTAACGCTTCTCTCTTGCGGCGTGAAACCAGGTCTACGTCTTCTGGTACGAGATACGGGTTCCGGTTCCGGTTGTTCAATTTCTTGTGCTCTATAATGATAAGTAGAAAAATTCTAAGCACACCTAACGAAAGAAAAATGTTTAACGACGAAAGAATAATAGTCGAGCCTCGGATTGGATATTTATTTGCTCACAATGCTTCTTCCTCTTCCTGTTTTTTCCTACGTTTTCTTTCCTCTAAAACGTCGCGCATGGCGCGCATGAGATTAGGGATGGATAATGTGAACGATATTATCCAACGCGGTAGTTGAAACGGAAGTGTATTCCACATGCTCGGAGTGGGGATCTTTTCCAAAATATCTGCTAAATCCGGGACGTCCATTTTCCCCTTTTTATTCTTTTTCTGCATTTTCTGAAGCTTACTACCCAACACTTGCTCCTAGAACATTTATGAAACCATCATAAAATTCTCTAGATGTTCATTTATTTCTTTAATTAGTATCTCACGTACATATGTATATCTCTTCTCAAAATATGCAGCCCATGCTACCAAATATTGTCCGACCGTAATAACTATGAATAAAATCATACTTAATTCTACAAGACCCATTTTCCGTACATGACGGTAATAATATACAGCCGATCGCCAATTTGGCAATCCGTTAATAAGTACATTATCATATCTCTGTCTTTTTCCAGGATCTTTCAATATATCATACACAGCGACCAGCTGAAAACAGAGGTACAATATTTTACATTTATTTTTGTTTCAGAACGCAACAAATTTTTGCCGTACTTTTCTGAACTGTTGCTCCGCGTCCTCTGCATCATTTTTGTCTGGGTGCAATTGGAGGGACAATCGCCTAAAAGCCTTTTTAATCTCCGAGGCATTGGCAGCCTAAAAAACATTTCTCTAATTAAGAAAAACAACGATGTAAACAGAGAGAAACCACAACAAGAGACAAACCTGTGGGACACCGAGCACTTCATAAAAGTTTTGATTGACTTCCTCGAAAACGTCAAACACCTCCAGATCGTCATTATCCCAAGCGTTCGTGAATCTATACACGTCAAAAAAGGACAAAACTCCCAATATTACTAATGACACTCTCATTTTTCTTTTTTTTTTTTTTTTTTGGTTCGCTATGTATATACAATCATATCTATCGACGAGTTTACATTAATTGTTTGCGACACGGTTGCCGCTGAATGTCTACACCTTGATCATTGCTTTCGTTTGAATGGATCTGTCTTTCGAGAGGCGGGCTAAAATATGTTAAATCGAGAGGTGCCACATCGCAGGTCCCGAAGAGGTTATGTTCTACAAACGTATGCCGTGTGTATCGGACGCGTTAACTATAGCAAAAGTACGATTTAAACGTGGTGTGACCGTGTGACTCTGTGTATGATCTGTTGCATTGGGCTAAAGATCCATTTTTAAATTGCGACAACGCACGGAAAAAATTGAAATTCTATAATCTATAATATACAATTATAATTCACTACAAACTCGAGTGAACCACTTTGAAATTCTCAATAACATGGAAATTCAATTATACGAGGATGCGTTTTATCGTATATGCGTGTGAATGCATAGTTAATATACACAGGGCCGACTCAAGAGTAAGTAGCGTCTAGGGCGGTTTCTAAAGCTTGGCGCCCTAGACAGACACCTATTCGACTTCCGACCAGAGTCAGCCCTGCACACGCATTATACGTACATGGATGCATACACGCGAAAAAAAAAGAAGGTCAAAGTGTCGAGATTCGTTCCTTGAACAGGGTACATTTCAGGTGATATAATAGAAAAATAACGATCATGTAGCGATGAAATCGAATTGAGACAGATGTAAATCGTCGATAAAAATCGATTCAAATAACTCGAGTAACGGAGAACGGACGATATATATATATATATATATATACGCAAAGTGAACGATTACGATTCGCAAGAGACAGTATTGCCGATAAGTGTGCCAGAGATAGTGTGTTGCGTGCCTAAGTACACAGATGACTCCACCAATTTCGGTGATTTGAGGCGCGGCGTAGAACTGTGTGTATGTTTTTGCATTCGCATGCATCACCGTCCGAGGATATATTCGTTCGATCGAAAAATGTGTCTTCCGCTATATTCGAGTGCGATACAGCGCACTATTCTCCCGTGCTTCTGTCAATAGAGGAATTGTAACATTTTAATCGTGCATAACAATTCACGGCATCTCGATACATCAGATGTATTCGATTATATTTTATGGACCGTGATCGACCCTAAACGGGCGCCGCATCGTCAATTCTCTGCCCCGCGGATGGTCATCGTGGTGGCGAACTCATCCGATTTCCATCGATTGTATTTATAGTGTACGCCGGTTTATTTTCGCACGCGGGTTCCTTTGGGAAAAAGATGTACCTATCCGCTGGCTGACAGCATTTTTCCTACATCCGTAAGTTTCATTTCGCTAGGAATACGGGTCGGGGGAAACTATTGGAAAAAAGATTGACGATATAGTAAGGTCTTATTTGCATGTATTCGGCTGTGATGTGTGGGTGTGCGAGTCTATTAAATATGTATACATATATGCACGCATATATATACGCCGTCGAATATGCAACTTTACCACCTTTTATTTCGGAATTCGTGTTCCCGTGAATATTCGTGTCGTGCATGAGCGCGACGAACACGAAATCGGAAGGATCGTGGACGCCGTTGATTGCGATAGACCCAAGTACAAGCAAACACGTAATTAGGCCCGTACCACAAATGTGTTATTCTTAGCGTGATAACGTTGTAACGTTAGAACTCGAGGGACCGTTTTTACCTGTGCTAAATTCATTTTCCTATACCTTAACTAGAATACTATCGCGTGTCGCCGGGTATTGTCAACCTATAATTCATAGGAAAGTACGGGACTTGTTCGAATGTTACTCATTAAAATATCGTAATGTATTTTAAATAACGCAAAATATTGTCAATTTTTCGTTCACCTTAAACTACAAAGGCGAATCACTCGTCTATGTACACGATGTAACCAAATAAATGGATATTAGCTTGGCACTGAATGAGAAATCGAATTTTTAATAAAAGAAATTTTATTCAACATATGTTTAAAACTGCTTTCTTAAATACTTACGCTTCTTGTCCGAAGATAGTATCCTTTTGGATGGTTGCAACCTGTATAGCGGCATACTTTAATATTAGTACCTGGAAATATTTAAGTGCAATGTACATGTTTTGTGGTTAGCAAAACGATAACTAATAGCCTATGTGTAAAATATCGCCGTTGCGTAATGCATTATTGGTGTCTCATAATACGACTAAGTTGAATGGTCTACTTATAACAGTCGGAGAGTTAATATAGTTACAAATAAGTTTTCCCGCAATGTTTTAACGTTAACGCTTTATATACATAATTTTTCCATTTGTACGATACATCTGATGGTGCCAGCGAATCATTCATTATGCATATTAATGGTAATCATGCTTAGAAACATGCTCGCAAACTTCTGGCTCTAGCATATGTCCCTTTGTCCTTTAGTGTGGTGGTTTGTCTTCTTGTGCGGTAAGGGACGCGGATCCTTCTAGTGCGAGTTGCTGGTATCAAAGCGAAAAAAACGTGTATTAAAACACAGAATACAGAATGGAATCTGCTATAGCTGGACGTAGGCGGACTGCCACGCGACATTCAGCAGAGGATCAAGCTCTCGATCAGATAGCCAAGGAGGTATGGCCTGATTTTTTGTACAAGTAAGCAACATGGTAGAATTTATAGAGAAAGATAGAATAAAATGTGAAATTCTTAAAATACAGGTTTCTCTTAATATTATAGATGCCAAATTAATTATAAAAGATCACATAGACACGTATTGTCAAACGACTTATATTATATCAATGTGCAAAAATTAAATTGATAAATGTTGCTGTACATGTGCTTGACCTTGGTGCTTATGTGTATGCATGGTTGTGTGGGGTAGGGAATTACATCATTCGTGATAAGTTTATCTTAAAGTAAGAGTATGTAAAAAATGAACAAAGTATTAGCAGTTATAATACAGCAGTCTATTAAAAATATATTTATCTGCTAAAATTAATGTTAAAATATATTTAAAAGTAAACTATAAAATTGTTAATACTTTGGTTATTCTTTAATCCGTATGTGTGTGCGCACGCGCGCACATACACATGCACATGTTATTAATATACTTAATATTTTACCTATTAATTAAAAATTAAACGAATGTAAGTATCCAAAGTGAATTATCGGGCTTTGTATTTACACATACACGTGTCACTTTCAAGTGAACTTTAACGAATATCCATATGTTAAAATATTTATCAGCGTTTTTACATCATGCATCGATGTGTTAATAACGAATTGAATGTGAAAATATGTTTTTGGTAACAGGATGGATTTTCCATACATACTTTCAGGCAGAAGCTAGATTAGCTGCAAGAAGACAAGCAAGAGCAGAGGCAAGAGAGATACGGATGCGCGAATTAGAAAGACAACAGAAGGAGGCAGAGGAGAATGCGGACAGAGTTTACGATATGTGTACAGGTATTTGTTTTAGATACAAGAAACGTTATAAAAATTAATATTCCCTTCGTTGAAAGATATAGAACATTCTTTAGGAAAAGTATGACGTATTTATTTTTTTTCTTTTTTATGTTCTAGCCGATGTTAATAGAACAATGAGAGTAACTCCCGATTCTGTAAGGACATCGCGTCTCCTTACTAACTCTAACAATTTTCAATCCAGTCGTAGATCTTCTGAAGATTCATTAGAAGATGCTGGATTGAGCAGAGATCTCAGGGTACACTTTTTAATATTCTGTTTTACAATTAAGAAATACAATATTTCTTATTAAAGTTTCTACTTTCTTTGCAGTTAGAGTTGAAGGAGTTCGAGGAGAAATTTAGAAAAGCAATGATAGCTAATGCTCAGTTAGACAATGAAAAGTCTTCTTATGCTTACCAAGTTGATTTATTGAAAGATAAGTTGGAAGAATTGGAAGAGACAGTTGCGCAACTTCGTAGAGAACTTCGTGAGAAGAATCGGGAATCCGAGCAATTAAAAAGAATCAATCAGAGATTGAAGGATGAATTAGATATATGCCATGCACAACTAGTAGAAAGAGATACGCTTATACAAGTATGTATCGTTAAGAAATTAATGTGTTTTCGCAGTAGCCGATATAAAATATGTAAGCATTTTGAACATCGCGTTTTTAAAAATTGCTTTAGGAAAATGGTTTAGTTATTATTGGTGACGAGGAAAGCGAGAACGAAGATAACGATATCGAAAATGGTCCACGTCCGAGACGACGAGTACTAGTCAGTACAGAAGCAGCAGAATTATTGCAAAATGCTGGAAAGGGATCGTTAGGTACATATTCACGATGTGCGATCAAACAAATCTCACTAATTTCTCTGGGGTTTATATATATATGCATATATATAAATAAGAGGACGTTATCTCAGAATATATATTACAGATGTCCGGCTGAGAAAATTTGCTTCTGAAAAGAAAGAATTGCAAGATGAAATACGACATTTGAGATTGGAACTAGAGGAGACCAGAAATCGTATTAGATCCGAGAGATCGCCCGGTTCAGTATTAGGTTAATATTTATGCCATACGCGGTGCTCTTATTTCTCCGTACGTGAAATATCGTTGCTCTCGGGACGTCGTGTTTTATTCCGACAGGTTGTTTATCAGACTCCGAGGACGTGCAACGAGAAGCAAATAAACTTTTGGCCGACTATAAGTTTAAGTTACAAAAAGCTGAGCAAGATATGTCTACGCTACAAGCGACAGTAGCTAGGCTAGAAAGTCAAGTAATACGTTACAAGTCGGCGGCAGAGGCGTCCGAGAAAGCGGAAGACGAATTGAAAGTTGAAAAAAGAAAACTACAAAGAGAAGTGAGAATGGGCGCTCCATCTATCGTTTATCCAATTCGAGCGATATCTCTGAACGGAAATTATGAAATCTTTTTCAGGTCAGAGAGACTCAAGGACGCGTGGAGGAGTTAGAGACAGCAAATTCTCATCTGCAAAGGCGACTGGATAAATTGAAAAACGCGAAATCGGCTCTTCTGAAGGAGCTTTGACGGGACGACTTTTTTGGGTTTGTACAATGAGTCTGCCATTTTCTTCTATTCTGCAAAACGTGTGCCGATGTTGCCTCAACATAAAATACTACTTAACACTTTTGAATATTATTTATAAAAGAATGTGAAACATGCATAGTATCGTTACATGATTTTACATGATTTTTAATCGATTTTTATGTACAATACTACCGTAAGTACGACGTCCCAAAAAAATGGCTACTTGTGATGTTTGTACTTGCATTATATGTGAAGCCTAAACTGCTGTGAAAGGAAATCACTGTTTTGTATTCAATACGTTCTTTTCGTTACTAACCGTTATTCTGCATTTCTTTATGAAAAAAAGGAAATACCAGTCTTCTCGAAGCATTTCAATCGTTGAATATTTCATGATTTTGCGAGCAGTTATGGAGTCGATTCGTATTCTGTATATTATTTGGGGGAAGCGAGCTGGCCTGTACATCATAAATGTATAAATAATTTTCATACATTCTATTTACTTTCTGTTTAAAAAGACAACGAAGGAGAATGACAGGCAACATCCAAGTAAGATGAAAAAATAAAACGGTAAAGAGCCTGTGTTTCTCGATACGACGGACAAACCATTTATAATTCGTGATGTACATGTCAACAAAAAAAATGCGTATATCAAATAAGTGTAATTTGTTTTACATCGAATAATTTATAAATATATTTCTAAAGATACGAGATATTTATAACTTCTATAAAAATCATGTTATAGTTAAAATTAGAGATCGAACAGAAGCGATGCCTATGATGCTCGTTTTCCGTTATTGGAAATACGAGCAGTGGAATTTAATAAACATTTTTAATTTTATAACGTATTTGTTATATATCAAGATGAATCAATATCGGGATTTGTATATTTGGCCAAGATAAGTCTAGTTGTGTCGAAAACTGAAGTAACATTTGTAAATTTAACTTACGACTGATTACATTGCTAGATCGTCGGTGTTCAATTTTAATAATAGCATTTTACAAACTGAATTGTCTCCAGAACTGACTTTTTATTCCTTGGACAGACGTGAGGTAAAAATACGATGTACGATAGCGTGGTCTTTGTACATTCGGAAATGAATTAAACTATATTGTTGAAGCTATATAATATTCTTGGAACACAAATTCATTATATATTTTATGTGATATAAAACTAAAGTAACCATTACAATCTTGTCAGTAGGGAACACATCTTATAAAAGGAAAAGAGGAATAATGATAATAAAAATAAAGCAAAATAAACTTATTTACCTCATCATTAGCTATAAGAGCTATCGTCAGATTTTGTAACGAATCATTAAACGTTTAGTTAATTAAATTAAATAGCAGTTTTAATGTTGATACGAGTACAGATTGTTTTTTTATGAAAACAATTCATATAATTACAGATCTATACAAAAGGGTTTCAAAAGGTATGGTCATTTAGACTAAAAAAATTAGAATGTTTATATGAGATTACTATAAAAAGTTTTATTGTAAGTGATTTAATAAAATACCAGTGAAATAATTATTATAAATCGGTCGTGTTTTCTATTATAGTAGACATTACGCATATTAAAATTACGTGAAATATTTTTTAACAATAGAATCGATACAGTTAGATGAAAGGGATGTTTTTAGTTTGGATAAAAGTAATACAGAAAAAAAGACTAAAGACAACATAACATATTTTATACAACACGATAATAAAAATAAGCAAAGTTATGAAAAACTTTGCATTGGATGAAAAATCTCATAAAATTGGTTGTGCACGGAACGTGTGGCAAAGACCGATCTAAATCTAAGCCTAAAGTATTCACGTGCCAGTATCACATGCACAGTTTAGTAAAGAATCTTTAAAAGAAGAAAAATTTAAAGCCAGGTCCCTCGATGAACTTTAAACGAACCCCTAAAATTCGAGAAGATGGCTAAATTTTTCGACGAAAAAGAAAAATTTCAAATCGTACTGGAAAAATTATTTTCGGTTGCGGGGGTCAATTATAATTATTTTTTGTCATTACACATACCCCCGAAATCCTACGCATTTTTGAGAAAAAAATTCAGCAAGTGGACAAATTTTTCGTCGAAATTAAAAGATTCCAAATCATAGTGAAAAAAATATTTTCGGTTACGGGGGTCAGTTACAATCATTTTTGGTGAACACGCATACCCCCGAGATCCTATCCACTTTCGAGAAAAAAAATTCAGGTAGGTGCGGGAAATTTTTTTGGCGAACAAAAAGAATTTTTCAAATCATTCTGACAAAATTATTTTCGGTTGCAGTTCATCGATCGTTGATCCACCCGCGAGCTGCGTGGAGGTGGAAGCAGTGATGGGCATCGTGGGAATTTTGGTCATGCGCACTGGAAGATTCCTTTCTGCGCGTGCGTAAGCCGACGTCACACGAATCACGAATGTCCATCACTGGGCGGATGGTAGCGGCCATGCTCGTATCAGGCACACGTGGTAAGAGAAAGCGTGGGAGTCCAGAGAGAAAACGAAGCCAGCCGGCTGGTTAAAGCAACCCTCAAGAAAATTTATGACCCTCTTGGAGAAAATGAACGGAAACGCGAAGTGAAGTGCCGTGAGGGCCTCGTTGTGTTTCAAGATACTCGCGAGAGTTAGCAGAAATAGAAATTCGTCAGGAGGCGACATGACACGGCCTTCAAAAAATAAACCAAGTATTTCTAAGTCTTCTTTTCTCTCTCGACCCTTGACTTTCTCTGCTTGATCGACCACGATCGATGTACATTGTAAGACGCTGGTTCCTTTGAATCTCGCTTCGAATTTTAATGGAGTTACGTGATCGCGTACTCGATGGTCATTAATCGAGTTTCCGTTAATTCCCGTCGCGGCGCTATATGTACTAAGCCCAACAGCGTAACAACATTTATCTACAATTTTTATTTTAAAATGAACGTATATTTAGTTAGAAACATTCTTTGTGCAACTTAAAATTATTAATTTATTGTTCATTCAATAGAAAGATGACTTCTAATAACACAACCACATGACTTGCGAAAGTATCTCATTGGTTCGTTTATTCAAGAATGTATTGTAGGCAATGTGGGCATAATTGAGTGCATCGTGTACGTTAGCTCGGTACTTCGTATAACTTCGGGAAATTGATAAAGAACGCGAGTGTGACCCTCTCTTTCTTGCTCTTGTAACAGCTGAAATACGACCTCATTGCGTTTCGGATTCTACAAATAATTATTTCCAAAAACAAGTCTTTTTAACAACTCCTGGTAAAATTAGATAGGCGTAAGCGTCGGTAGCTTTATCGTTGAGACGTTGTACGGTGTATGTAGGTATTTTGTTTACAGGTTAAATTGTAAATAGAAACAATTATATGTATATGCACAATTATTATCACATTTTATTAAAAAGTTAGATTCAAATCTTGTATTTTGCCATAAGGTCAAGCATATTATTATACACTAGAGTATCAATGTTCATAGCCCAAAGGAAATCAAGGTGCGTAAACCATTTGTACGGGACCAAAAATTTCTTAGCGTTCGGTAGCTTCCTGTACAATTCGTTTAAATCCTACAAGAATCACGTAAAATTCGTTTTAAAATAAAATTACTAGAATTCCCGGCAATGTACTTTTTCAAAGAAAGATACAAACCATCACGCTGACCATTTCATCATTGTTACCATAGAATAAATAAACAGGCATTTTGATACTAGCAAGGTCATACTTAGGAGGGTTTATGCTGCCATACTTTATCATATTATCCACTGGGCCATAATTGAATTGTTCAAAGTTCCCTGCAAAAGAATGCATAATTAACAGGTAATTCGAGTTTACATGGAAGCACCTCTACAGATATTGTTGTACCATTATAATCAATTCGTTAGTTACTAACCAGATGTTTGCAACTGTGCATAGTGTGTGAATTGTCTGATAGATGCACCAGCAGGATCATATTGCCCAATGTCAGGTAGAAGAGTCTGCAAATTAAGATCCTTAGATCAAAGTAAAGGGTATTGAAATGCCAGTAATCAAATAAATATGATAATTACATAGTTCAATTCCTTTTCGTTACGTCCACCAAAGAGTGTCATTACATTTGTGCAAATTGGTTGCGTAGGAGCATCATCATCGCATATAATTTTCGCCACCGTTCTTATAAAGGGACCCGATGGCTTGAACTCGTTCTTACCTATCATACTCATCAGTGCCTATAAACGAATTAAAATATTTATAGAAAAACGTTCACTTTAAGAGCAACAAATAGTTGATGTATTTACTATTACAAACAACGGAGATGTTTCGGTCATAGATACTTTTAAAAACTAAATAGAGGCAATTGCAACAACCCGTATGAACATTCTTTTGATTTAGTGTCAGAAGACATATAGCGTGGGCATTATTAAACCTCATATCGGCATTTTGCCCGCAAGATGGAGTGTGCGTCGAAGGACCTTCCAGCTAGCCCACTACCAAGATCACGAAACAGGTAATTACCAACTCTAGTATCAGAAGACAGTGGATACTATACATTTAAATCGTTGACAATAGGTGACAACAAGCAGATGAAAGGGTGCGTCGCCTGGGACATGAAAACCGCCGGCGCCATATTGAACGACGCCACAAGTTTCTGTTGATACTCCGGCCGTTCGCTCGCCATGACAAAGAAGGAAGTGCTCCCCTGGCTATGACCCACGTATAGAATCTTCTCCCGTTTGGTCTCCTTCAAGACATGATCTATCATCGCTGGAATATCGAACATCCCTATCTCGTGCCAGCTGCATAAGCGATATTTTACATTAATCGGAGAACCCAAGAGCAACACTCGAAGATGAAAACAGTTTACTCTTCGAAGATGCATACCTGAACATCCAGTAGTTTTTATCCGCAGTAGTATATTGCTTGTGTTTCCGGGAGTATCTGTTACCGCGTACGTTGCCCATCCATACATCGTATCCCTGATCAGCTAACATATAACCTAAAATTCCCAGAATGTTGATAGCGGTCTTTTTTTTGTCAGACAGACAATTTTGTTTCTCCTTCTCATACCTAAACCTTTTTCAGGACTCGCTAACACCCACGAGGCTGAGCAATCCAGAAGTCCGTGGACTAGCAGTACAGGGGGCTTGTCATTGGACTTGGGACTCTTCTTGGACCCTAAGATCCTGTGCATCTGCAAGATGTATCCATCCTCTGTAACGACCTCATAAGTTTCGGCTATGTACCCAAGCTTTTGTGCTCGTTGCGACTAGACAGTGAAAAAAAGACATTACTGTAGGATGAAACTAGCTACGAGAGCAATGATTCTCACGAGTTCTTGTCAAAAAGTTTATTACACAAGATAATCGATTGCACACTCACATTCACACCCCAAATTAAGAAGAAAGAGTTATGTATCGACCGAGTACTTTGACGCAAACGTTTAAAAATGTTCAGAAAGTAGAGTCAATCGAATAAAGATTACCTTTCTGCTCGGTAAGGTTTACTTACGGGGGTTGGTAAGTTGCGATTAGGGTGATCCAGGTCTTCGAACGTGACGACGCTACCGTTGAGGGATTCATGTTCGTACTCTGTAAAAGGTAACCCAAGTATCAACGGCGCGGCGCAACTGAGAACGAAAAGTAGCCTCAGCATTGTTACGCGATGATGTGGCTTTCGGAATAAATAAACGATTTCATAGCGCCAGCTGTATATAAAGTGTTGCTTATCTAAATAGAAGTTTGTACAAGGAAACACCAGACCAATTGAAGATGTTATCCCCCTATTGATAATTATAGAGATACGATTATAGTCTTTACAACAAAAGACTCTTTTAAAAAATTAAGCTTATCTGGATTGGCAGTTGGGACAAAAGAATTAATTTTATCAACTGTCGGGCTATGTGAGTGAATGTTAATACGTGTTGCAGATAACATGTAGTATTTTCCTCTCGGTGATTATCGAACGTCAATGTTTATTATATCACACATTGCAATAAACAGGTGTTCGGAATTATGAAGTGAAATTCCCGATCGGTATCAGGCCGATTTGTTATACAAATCTGCCCGATACTTGAGGAAATATCTGAGCTTTGTTTGTTGCTCAATTAGATTACTGATTCGAAAACATGCGCCACGATAGGCTTTTCTGAATCTGAAAGATTGTAGATAGCGAAAGTTATGAACTTTAACAACTGGTCAATAAATTGTAAATAATAATTTGTGTCCTTCGCAACTAAATTCGGCCATCCGTGGGAAAAATTTTAATGGCGGATTCTAGGGGCCAAAATAAGACGAAAATCAAGAATATCAATTTGTTGATGGAGGCTTTGTTAAAATGTTATTAATGTTTAAAGATCCAACAAAACTGAATTTTTTTCTCAAAAATGCGCAAGATTTCGGGGGTATGTATATTCACCAAAAGTGATTGTAATTGACCCCCGCAATCGAAAATAATTTTTCCAAAACGATTTGAAATTTTTTTTTTCCGTCGAAAAATTTAGGCTTCTCGAATTTTTTTCTAGAAAATGGGTAGGATTTCGGGGGTATGTCTATTCACCAAAAGTGATTGTAATTGACCCCCGTAACCGAAAATAATTTTTCCAAAACGATTTGAAATTCTTTTTTTCCGTCGAAAAATTTAGGCTTCTCGAATTTTTTTCTAGAAAATGGGTAGGATTTCGGGGGTATGTCTATTCACCAAAAGTGATTGTAATTGACCCCCGTAACCGAAAATAATTTTTCCAAAACGATTTGAAATTCTTTTTTCCCGTCGAAAAATTTAGGCTTCTCGAATTTTTTTCTAGAAAATGGGTAGGATTTCGGGGGTATGTCTATTGACCAAAAATGATTCTAATTCACCCCTGTAATTGAAAATAATTTTTTCAGAATGATTTGAAATTTTTTAATTTAATTTTTTAATAACTTACTAACTTATTAACGAAGCCTCATTCAAGAAATTTATATTCTTGATTTTCGTCTTATTTTGGTCTCCAGAATCCCCCATTAAAATTTTAGAAAATATAAGGCTTTATTTATTTAATTTAAATACAATAGATTAAAATATGGTAAAATGGAATAAGAATTCTGTAATCTCGTGTAATAAATTACCATCGATCGAAAATTGTGAATGTGTGACATTGAGGTGTATAAAATAGCGAACTACCAGTTTATGCTTAGCAAAAAATTTGCTATAATCTGCTGAGTGAAAGCATTGCGCGATTCTATGCACGCAGCAAGCGGTTTGGTCGCTCTTTTAAGACGCCGTCAATATTACATCATGTCGAATGTCGTGAAACGGAGGGAAAGTTCAGCGATTCGCGCACAAGCGTTTCGTTCGACGAGTAACCAACGTGGACACATTTTTAGACTTAATTTATTTCATCCAAGTGCTTTTTATTATCAACCAATTAAGTATCCAATATATGAGTTATTGGCTGTGTTCTTTTCATGATTTATAAAAATGTGAGATAACTCTGTAACATTATCAAACAGGATTCTCTAATTAATACAAGCTAAAAGGCTTAAATCTATATCGATTTCGTAATTAATATCAACGATTCAAAAATTCAGATAGAAGTCTACCTTGCGCAATCGTTTCAGGGTTAATTATTCCCATGATCCGAATGATGTCCAAGTCTAAGACGAACGAAGACTGCATAAATGGTAGATTGGTTGTCGCGAGTTGTCAAGCGGAAAATGTATTGCATAAATGAACAGTCTTCGGTCGTAATCGTGGATTGCAAAAAGAGCCTCCAAGCGAGTTTCCCGTGACTCGAGTATCAGTTTCACTGTACAGCAGGTGCAAAAGAAACGGTCAGAAGAGGGAATATTTGAATTGAAAAAGAAGAACCAACAACTCGCGAAGAGAAGAAAGAAAGTTGAAAAGGATAAAGAAGAAGGAGGTGCGGAATGAAACAGGTCCCGTTGAAGATCAAACGCAACGAAAATTCGGTAAAAAGATGCAGTTCGTATCGATGAAACGTTTGATCTTCTTCATACTCCTCGCCTCTTCGAGCATAGAAACCAAACGTTCTGGTACGTAAAGACGACGCTTTGTACGATTGAAAAATTGCAATGGGAGATTCCGGAGACCAAAATAAGACGAAAATCAAGAATATCAATTTTTTGATTGAGGCTTCGCTAAAAAGTTATTAAAAAATTAAATTAAAAAATTTCAAATCGTTCTGGAAAAATTATTTTCGATTAAAGGGGTCAATTACAATCATTTTTGGTGAATACACATACCCCCGAAATCCTACCCATTTTCGAGAAAAAAATTCGAGAAGATGCCCAAAATTTAGGGCGAAAAAAAAATTTTTCAAATCATTCTAAAAAAATTATTTTTAGTTGCGGGGGGGCAATTACAATAATTTTTGGTGAACACACATACCCCCGAAATTCTACCCATTTTCGAGAAAAAAATTCGAGAAGATGCTCAAAATTTTGGGCGAAACAAAAATTTTTCAAATCATTCTAAAAAAATTATTTTTAGTTGCGGGGGGCAATTACAATCATTTTTGGTGAACACACATACCCTCGAAATCCTACGCATTTTCAAGAAAAAAATTCGAGAAGATGCCCAAAATTTAGGGCGAAAAAAAAATTTTTCAAATCATTCTAAAAAAATTATTTTTAGTTGCGGGGGGGCAATTACAATAATTTTTGGTGAACACACATACCCCCGAAATTCTACCCATTTTCGAGAAAAAAATTCGAGAAGTTGCCAAAATTTTTCGACGAAAAAGAAAAATTTCAAACCGTTCTGGAAAAATTATGTTCGTTTGGGGTGTCAATTACAATCATTTTTGGTGAACACACATAACCTCGAAATCCTACTCACTTTCGAGAAAAAAATTCAGTACGGGCGGAACTTTGAATGTTAATAACTTTTCATCGAAGCCTCCATCAACAAATTGGTATTCTTGATTTTCGTGCTATTTTGACCCCCAGAATCTCCCATTACAATTTTTCCCAGGGTAGACCGACCACCCTGTATAATCAAGTTTTTTACATTGAATTTCGTCCTTAATCTTCTAGCAAAACTTCTAACAATAAAGAACAGAGTAATAATGCTACGCAGAAGAGGAGGCCCTGGACGCGACGATTTCAAACCCAAAATATGCTTTGGTATCAAACTTACACCAAATATAGTGGTTAAATTTGCTAATAATCTCGTCAACAATATCGAACGTTTTAGATCATGTTGGTTGTTTTGCTGATCCACCGCCTTATTTGACACTGAAACGGCCACCGGAGCATCCCAGCGTGATACAAACTAGATTCTTATTGTACACTTCTGAGAAAAGGGAATCCCCCGAGTATCTCCGATACGACCAGGATTTCAAGACCATTATGCAATCGCAATTCGATGCAAAGAAGCCTCTGAAAATCGTGATACACGGTTACAAGGGTAGCGGAAGTGACGTTGGGTCTATTCGTCTGGTACAGAGTCTACTGGATTTGGTAATTTGTTACTAACTATCAGAGAGGAAAGTAAAGTCAATTGAGCTGCCCATTTCCCTAAATATTATAACATTTCCTCCAGGAAGACGTAAACGTCTTGGTACTGGACTGGACAAGAGGCGCCGCGACAACGTATTCAGCAGCAGTGGCAAACACCGAGTTAGTAGGTCGACAATTAGGCTTGGTCCTCCTGGACATAATAAATCTGGGCGTTCCCCCTGAAAAGATTCACATAGTTGGCTTCAGCCTCGGCGCCCACGTTGCTGGTTGCGCCTCAGAGATCTTAAAGAAGAGGAATTTCCTCCTGGGCCGCATAACAGGCCTGGACCCCGCATCCCCGTTCTTCAGGAACCACTTGCTCAGGGAGAAATCCAGGAAACTGGATGCCACCGACGCTCAACTTGTGGATGTGATTCATACGGACGGATCTGAGGATTTTGCGGATGGTTTTGGACTTTTGAAACCGCTTGGTCATATTGACTTCTTCCCCAACGGTGGTAGAGAACAACCTGGTTGCACCGACGTGAAGAACTCTGTTGTTGTTAGCCATTTGAAGGGTACTATTCTCTATTCCCATTGCAAATTTAACATTTCATTTGCTTTTACTATAGCTACAATAATGTTTATGATGTTTTAGAGGATATGTTAACTAAGGAGATTGCGTGCAGTCATCTGAGAGCCTGGCAGCTCTTCCTGGAGAGTGTTCGTATGGATAATCGGTCTTGTAAGTTCACTGCCTGGCCCTGTCCTCAAGGGAGAACTTCTTACGCCAGTGGATTGTGTTTCCCCATGGAATCTGCATTCTGGACTCAGGAAATGGGTTACAGGGCTAATCGCGGTTCCTTGGGGATTTATTACTTGCCAACGAGAGAGGAAGGACCATTTTGCGGTATAGTAACAAAAATTAAATTAAAATTTTTTGTTCATCTCATTTTTTAATTATTTATTAGGACAGCCTCTTAGAGCGTCGGTGATCGTCTCCAAAGAAACTGCAAAAACATCGGGAATATTGTTCTTAAAGATAGCGGACCGCGATTTAACGATGACCTTCAAACTCCGATGCACGTAAATCATTTGTTTTTATACCAAATATTGTGTTTAGAATTGCGGTGATCGAATACGTATTAGTGGTGCAAAAACGTCTGTTCAAGATTAACGAACCGGAGGAACGAATGGACGACTTTCTACGATATCGCAGCGAAGGAATCACTGCTTGATAATCAGTCGATGATAAAAGCACAGATTTGGTACCAGACTCTCGTTAACGAGGCAGATGAAACCACTAATAAATATTTTTCAGATACATTGTATATAAGCAAACTAGCTGTTGAAGATAGAAAAGGCAACAGGCATGTAAACGTACAATTCTCTGAAATCGATGTCTGTTAAATTGAACGCGTAGAATTTTAATTAATTTTCTTATTTAAACGTTCTATAGATGGGAATACTGTGCTCCAAATACTGCTGTGAATTACCAGGAAAGATCTGTGGTTCTACAACGAGGATAATGCACGGTTTTATGATTATAGAGTAATTGTTATTTTTCACGAGAATATAAACATGTTACGATAGACTTTCTATCACTTTTATCATGTCGTAGATGTATAGTAAATAAAAAGGCATAAAAAAAAAGAGTATAATATAATAGGCCAAGGGTGATGATTTGGTGGCTCACGAGCAGTTCATACCAACTCTGTACAGTTGGGAACGAAAGCCCATTTAGTTCGGCCAGATTTGGCATAATTGAGTGCATCGACGACGACACTAGTAACGATGAACTTCCTTAGCGTCTGAGTGGGGATAGCAGGCATATACTCGGCACGAACAGTGAAAATTATCAAGAAATAAAGTGAAATTACTAATCAGTTATTATTTATTGAGATCGATCGTAGATCGAGAGCGCCACGTAGTCGATCGGCGAGGGCGCCACCATGATGCAAACGGCTGCGCCATCTTGATTGGTCAGTACGTCTTGCGACACGTAAGAGAGATGTTTTGAAATACAGTTCAGTACAAAAAAAGGTTTCTTTTCGTTGAATAAAAACTATCTCTGTGGAAACACCTGGCATTATCTTGATCAGGAAACAGCATAGAAATAAAAATAGTTTTCGATTAAAACGGTTTAGTCGATACAGAGATATAGAGATTAGATGTAACAACAGCCCGATCGTAGTAATAATTTAACAATGACAGGACACTCGCTTTTTTTAACGGAATGAAAGCTGTACGGTCCAGAATCGAGCATCGATCGATTAATTTCATTGGAGTAACCAATCGATTAAGATTATTAATCGACAACAACACCGAAAATCCTTGTTTATTTAAAATATAACTCGGAGTGGCAGTCAGATTGATTGGATCGTCAAAGTACATAAGATATTCGTATACCTCGCGTGTATTTCGCATAGCATCAAAAGAAAAACGGTAGCTTGGAATGTTTATTGTATTTCTTTTACAATCGCGAGATTCCTGGGCTAACCTCGATGAGAATTTTGTTTCTCGAAAATGCGTAGGATTTCAAAAATTTTAGTGACGTAGTTTACGTATCTTCGTTAGAATCCTGTATAATTTACTGATAAGAAATGAAAGAACTTATACAAAAGAAAGTATCGTATAAAGGACGGAAGATCGAAGAAACGAATACGTGATGTACGACCTTTGTTCTCGACAGAAATTCGTAGAAACTTTCAGTCTCCTCGAATTTCTCCATATTTTCATGCCTATTGTTTGCAATAATTGTTAATTAACATCAGGCAATAGTTAAAATAATGCTCGATAGCGTGGGTTGTATAAATAATTGTTTTTAATGCCATTTTGCGTAGAATATTCATTGTTCGGTCGAAGGCACGGTTAACCGTTAAGTGATTGGTGAACGCGTGAAGGACGGTCATCCCCACCCCTTTACTCGTCTGCCTGAGGCTATCTGCCGGTGACGAACTCTCTCTCTCCCTTTCCCCTCTGGGCTGCCGGACGTGGCGGAACGTCGTGGGCCTGCGCACCACTTCCACTGACCACTGCTGACTACTGGCGAGCTCTGGGGACCAATACTGACCAGTAGTGACCAAGACTGACCACTCGTGGGGATTGCTGACCACTACTGACCACTACTGACCAGTGCTGATTATACCGCGTGTAACTAAGTGTCAACAAGTAGTAAGTCCATTCCACTCATTTAAATGTATTATTAAGTCCGTTCCTCTCATTTATATGTATCAGTACAAAATTAGTTTGTTTCTTTTATTTGATTATACGGTGTCAATTGAATTTTCTCCGTCTGTTCATTATTACGGATGTTTCTTTCGTCTTTTTCGACCTTTGACATAAACATCGAGTGAAAATGGTAATGAACTACCGTGTTGGTTCTCTTACATATTTTTTCCTACAATATTCCCTGAATTTTCATGACATCGATGGGAATATGATTTTCAATTTTGTGTCGTTACTCGAATTCTCGTTTTACGGAGATACTTTGGTCAATTGTTTGGGGACTTTCTTTTCCACGTTATCTGTGAAATTGTCTCGACGTTTCAACTACATACGTCGTAATTGAATTTTACCTAATGAGAAATTACTTGTTGCATAAAATCTGTTGAATCGATCTCTAGGTAGATCGTCATTAGTTTTCGATTATTCAGAATCTTTATTTCGTTTGTTGGTTTGTTGGTTTTGTTTTGTCGATATTTGTGATTTATCACCATTTTCACTGTCTAGTTATGAGTCTATTTCGTACATTTATTTAGGTATGAATATTTCTAAATTTCGTAGCTTCTCCAGCTTATATTCTCATCTACTCCACACCAGATTCTTTGATACATCAGTTCACTAATTGCTTAGTTTCTTTAATACGATACTAATATAGATATGTGTTTTTGTTTTAGGTTAGGTCTATTACAGATCAATAGCAAGGACATCGAGGGAACATGTTACAACCGCCGAGGGACATATAATTCTAAGTCCATTAGATTTAAGCTTCGTCGCGAATCTTAAAATTAACGTCGAAGATTTCTTTGTTACACGTGTCTTCGCGTCCTACCCAGCAATTATTCAATAATTAGCTTCTCTCTAGCTCGTTCCCTCGTTCCTAGCTTCGATCACCGCTGTTTCATCGATTGAAACGTGTGATCGGCCGTGTATCTGGTCCGAAAGATCTAATCGCCTTCCCTTAGGTAGCTAGATCGAGGGAAAATGGTACTCTGCTGGAAGGTGTGGAGTTTCCGTATCCTGCGGAAACGCATACCTTCCAGCGGAAGTCGACACTGTTTCAGGTACTCTCTCTATGTCAGACAACTTGAGTCGGGTCCTTCGGGCTCCCGGCGGGTTGCAGTGGAGAAATGGAGACCTTCGATTTGGAGTCGCAGAGAATGTCCGTTATCCCATAGAGATCTAGTTAGCAAGGGCAGTAGGTTCGATCCTCGGATCCGCTGCACGGTTCAGCGTCGCGTCGCGTCTCTCACGATATAGCTTCACCCCTTTTTTAACGAAATAATTGCTTGGTACAACTGAATCATAATATCCAAGGAACTCTGTTCCCTTCTATCGTCCGAATTTTAGTTTTAACTTGACCAGACTCGACGTTAATTTTAAGTCTCTGTTGTATGCGTCTCCCAATATTGCCAAGTAATTGTAAAACAAGTAGCTTCTCGTTCTCTCGTTCCTTCGTTTCTCGCTTCGATCACCGCTGTCTCATCGATCGAAACATGTGATCGACCGTCCAGTTTGTCTGAAAGATCTGATCGTCTGCCCATGACAGATCGATTTCTAGAAATAGAAATCAATCTACCAAGGACAGTGTCGATTCGATTCGAAGATCTGCTGCACGGTTCAGCTTCGCGTCGCGTATCCCACAATATAGCTTCACCCCTTTTTAAACGAAATAATTACTTGGTACAACTGAACTAGAAGATCGAAGGAACATTGCTTCCCATCTATCTCTCTTTGGGTCTCCATCCGCAGCAACCTCCACGTGGTGAGACCTGGGTAATATTATTTAACGTTTAATTAATAATCGTATCGCTCTCAGCTGGGTAATGCAGTTATTAATTAAAAACTGAATAATATTAGCAAATTGGCTGCGATCCCCTTTGCATAGATCATCATAAATATAGAGCTTCTTCGCTAGGTTAGTTTTGATTCCCATTGATTCATCAAAGATTCTTGAGTATTGTCAGAGACTAGGTATATGAGTAGATCTTTCACCCAATGTATTTTTATGGGGTCTCGAAGTCCCATTACTAGCTAATACTACTTTTAGTTTAGTAATTATCATTACTAGCATAACTAGCTACGAGCTAATGGTTGCGAATTTAAAATACTTTCTTTACATATCAGACAGTATTGTCAAGGAATAGTAATCCTGTACACCCTGAATATTTTTGCTAATTTTATCGATTTCGAAAAGCGAAACTTTTTAATTTCGGCGAAAAATTTAGGATTCTCGAATTTTTTTCTAGAAAATGGGTAGGATTTCGGGGGTATGTCTATTGACCAAAAATGATTGTAATTGACCCCACTAAATAAATATAATTTTTCCAGAACGATTTGAAAGTTTTTTTTTCCGTCGAAAAATTTAGGCTTCTCGAATTTTTTTCTAGAAAATAGGTAAGATTTCGGGGGTATGTCTATTGACCAAAAATGATTGTAATAGAGCCCTGCAACGGAAGATAATTTTTTTAGATTGATTTGAAAAATTTTTTTTCGCCAAAAAATTTAGGCATCTTCTCGATTTTTTTTCTTGAAAATGCGTAGGATTTCGGAGGTAATAGTAATGACTAAAAATGATTATTATTGACCCCCGCAACTGAAAATAATTTTTCCAGAACGATTTGAAAGTTTTCTTTTTCCCGTCGAAAAATTTAGGCTTCTCGAATTTTTTTCTAGAAAATGGGTAGGATTTCGGGGCTATGTCTATTGACCAAAAATGATTGTAATTGACCCCTGCAGTCGATAATAATTTTTTTAGAATGATTTGAAATTTTTTTTCGCCAAACATTTTACCCCCTGTCGATTTTTGTTAAAAATTCGCTTTTCATTTTTAGTAATTTTGTTTGACACCCTGTAGAAAAGTTGTATAATACTTTTTAATAGATACCCATGAGACCAACTCCAGAAAAAAGTTTCATTAAAATATATTCACTATTGTAGGAGTTATGGTCGTTTGAAAATTGAACCATTTTTATAGGGTTTTCTTCATTTTACGGTGTTAAGGAACAACTTTTCCAATATTCTTAAAATTTCTACGTATTCTTCACAAAAATATACGCTGAGATCCTCCAATTCGTTCAAGATTTATGTTTTAAACAAACGCGTGAAATTTCGGGGAAACATTTCTGGCCACGCATTAATATTTTCTCATCGTTCGGAACTCTAAATCTCGGAAGCACAGCACGTCATTTCGTAAACATTATGTAACCCGAAATTCTCGTTCGAAATCTTTCGTCTGTGTTTAATCAAACACGTTCCTACGAGGTATAAACACCGCGCTAGAAAACTAAAACAAAAACAATTTTCT